TGGGGTTCTAATAATATTAAAAATAATATGACTACTATGGCCCTTAAACGTCACTTCTATAGGTTTTGATTCATGGGTGACACTACCAGATAATAAAGGTCATCCATCTATGACCTCAACCTGAACAGGTTTGGATTTTTGTACTAAAAGCATCTTATGACGCTTCGCAAATTCTTCGTCTAAGAAACAAGCTGATGCTCCTGAATCTAATAATGCTAAGGTTCTCAGTTTCTAAGGGCCAATAAGCAAAGGGATTGTAAAGCAAAGGGCAGGTTGAGCGGAAAGAAAAAAACCTAGTTGTTGTTGCCATATTTCACTGTCTAGTCGCGCAGTTCTTATTGTGGCTTGGCATCCTTGTTTTTCTGAACAAACGTGCCCCTAGTCCTAACAATACGTCGATTTTACTTCTTGGGGCAATTTCCAACTTTGTGGCCTTCTTCACCGCAATACAAGCATAGACCTTCCTCCATGCGCCCCTTTTTTTCTTCTAGAGTAAGAGATTTGACACGTACCGCATCAATTTGCATGTCTTCTACCTCTGAATGTGAATTCACGCTGCTTGCCGACATAGTTGGGGTGTGGCGAACCGTATGTTATCTTGAACGTTGGTCTTGGCGGCATTGGAATAGGCGATTATCGCACTTCACAATTTGGCTAATAGCTTCGTTGAGCGTTTGTGGATCAAGAAGAATTAACATCAAATCCTTCACATCGTCCCTTAAATCCCAATAGAATTGACTCATCAATGCTTCTTCATCCCAATTGATGTCGCATGCTAATTACCTGAAGTCCGATGCATAGACTAATATAGAGCGCATCCCTTGTCGTAATGACCAGATCTTTGTTGTAGCCCATCGAACCTTATTGTCTTCACCAAATGCTTCCGCAAACGCCTCCAAAAAGATTTCAAAGTTGTTTAGTATGGACGATCGTTTCTGAAACAAAGGAGCAAATCATAATAAAGCTTGCCCTGTAAGTAAGGTTCGAACAAGCCCAACATGTGACTCTTCCATTGGATAGCGTTCGGACTGTAAAACTGTTATCAACCTGATTTGATTGACGAATCCTCGAAACTTGGAACGCGTACCATCAAACTTGTCCGGAAGGCTAACTCGGGGCTCCTTATGTTGTAGAACTAGCGGTGCTTGTCGAACCCGAGGCAAAGTTGCTTCTCCAAGTGCAGAAGTTTGAGGCTAGTGCAACCTAGATTGTGCCATCCCAGATGTTCCATGATTATGAAGCCTTGCCACGACTTCTTCAATCTCTGCAGTTCTTTGTGATAACGTAGCGAGGGCATTTATGATAGCATCCAACTTGGACTCCAAACTTTCCGTCATACTATTTTCTTGGCATCGAGCCATTTTAAGAGAAGGACAGAAATGACTTTACAAAAAGACAATATTGGTTTAAAGGAGGGTACTCCGCAACTTCTAAAATGCCTTAAGAGCTTCAAGAAAAGGGGTAGTCCACTCTCTCCAAGAAGAATAAGACTCCAATATTGTAAAAAAGAAGTATCAGTTTAGAGGAGGGTAATCCGCAACCTCTAAAATGCTAGTACACTTCCAAGCACAGGGATAATCCGCACTCTAACGAGGAAGAAACTAGCTCTGATATCTGAGGTGAGTGAAGTCTCGACAAACTGTCACAGACACAAAAATACAGGCTCGAGATCTAACAAGAAGTTTAAGAAGAATTGGCAAGAACTAGATTAATCAGATGAATACAAGAACAACACCAAAGAGGTGAGCTAAAGCTCCAAGAGATGTGTTGTCGAGACTGAAGAACTCTTCAGCCTCGATTCCAATATATACTACTATTTAGGAAGCTTCTCAAGCAACTTCTACCAACTAAGAAGCTTCTAGAAGGTTCCAGAGACTTGCTTCTAGAAGGTTCTAGAAACTTGTCTCTAGAAGGTTCTAAGGACTATGTCCCTAACATGAAGGCTCGTTGATTTCTCCACAACATGCAAATTGGGCCTTAGTTGCACTTAAAAAAGAATAAATATGATACCTTATTAGATTGAAGGATAGATTTGATATTATTATAATAGTGAGGGATAGATTTGCTTTTCTTAAGAATATAAGGATATTCTTGATATTTCAACATATTTCAAGGATATATATGATATTATTCCTTATTATTATTATTATTATTATTATTTTCTTTCTTTTCATTGTTGGTAATACATGTAATATTAAAAATAAAATATTAAGAATGCAAATTAGTTGTAATGTGGGGTACAGCTTCAAAATCACAGAACAACAAGGAACACATTAAAAAAAGAAACAAAAAACAAATGACTCCGTTGACACAATTAATACATCCATCATGGATTCTCCATCCAAAAATTTCATCCACGAATATCATCCCACATGAGTAACTATTATTGGCTAGACCAAAAGCTTAAGTCACACTAACCTAATTAAATAAAACCAATACAATAACATTTGTCCACAATAAAACCCGAATATCATCCAACACCATTTAATATCATTCAATATCATAATACGTACATGGCCGAATATATCATCCACGGATACAGAATCACATTCGTTGAATCTGCGCGGGTTCGGGTGCCACAACATCCGCCACGTAGGATAAGGTCCACTCTAATTAGCTCACCTTCTCCATTTAAGAAAAAGAAAATTTAATGTCTGGCCCCACTTGCCCACCCAGCTCCACTCTCTCACCAACAAAGCCCCAGGACGGGAATGGGAGCCGAAACAACGGGTCCCATCAGGACCGGGTGCAGATAACGTCGCCCGTCATATATGCCATGTAGGTCTAAAAAACAAAAGCCACGCCATCGACTCCCGCCATAATAATGAATACTCTTCCCGGGTCGGATATAGACGCCGACTTCTCTTCCCTGGTCGGCCATGGGCGGTGGTGACGCAGGAGCGGTTATGGGCAGTGAGTGGTTCACCGAAGCGCGGCACAGAGACCGGAGCGCGGCGAGGTGGGGTTCGCGGTGATCTGCCACAGATTTTGTTGGGTGGGAGTTTTTCTTCCCGGGAATTTATTTGTTTTCGGGGTAGGCCAGATTGGTCGGGAGAGGAAGTGGGTTGTGGCGGATTTGTTGCCAAGTTTTAACCATGCCCTGCTATTAGAGTTGCAGGGCTGTGTCAGATACCAGGCTTTTGCTGGTGCAACCCCTCGGGTTCGAGAGATCCTGGGCCTGCTTGGTTCAAGCCAGTCTGGGAATACCGGCCAAGGAGGAACTTGGATTAAAGGCTCCCCTCCCCCCTCCCCCTCTTCCAAATGCTGCATACACACTGTTGTTCTGAAACACTTTCATACACCCACTCAGTTTGCATCACGATCATGTGAAGTTGGTTAGACACCGATAACAGCGCGGAGCTATCGTGATCGTAGCTTTGTTTCCTGTCAGTGATGTAGGATTTACAGCTACTTCTTTTACAGAGCACGAAGGAATCTTCAATCTATATATATAGACATGCATATATTTATACTGATGTTTATCTCTCTAAATATAAAAAATCATGGATTGAAATAGAATAGCGGGTAGAAATATGAATACTATGTTAAAGTAAATAAGAAATGTACGTGGTAACGTAGCTATCTTTAGTCATCGGTGTGTAGGAAGTCCAGTTTGAACATGTCACGTAATTTGTGAAAGATGAATCTTATGGGAGCGAAAATGAAAATGGAAAAGAGTCCACACCAAACCCAATCCACTGATGAGCACAATCCATATACGTAATTTAAACAAGGCTCACTGCTGTTCTCATGGTCTGGGTTCTATTTGGGGCTTTTTCAGATGAAGCTCGGGCTGGGAATAGGGTGTTACCAATAGAATACAATACAATACAATAACACGAGCGAGAAAGAATGTGAATAAGAATATTCAGTACAGTCTTCAACAGAGTGTGGATTCCAGCTCACCTCATTAACACATACAACCACGCCCTTTCACACTCCTTTTTTCCTGGATCATTGACAATAATGAGCCCCTGAGCCCAATTAATGGATAGCCATCAGCCCACTGCTTCACGGCCTCTGGGCTCTGCGTGAATGATTCTTCCGCCTTTACTATTCAGTCCTTAATTACACCAATGTGACAACCAAAAAATATGGCCCTCAATCAATGCAACGGAATTACTTACGATCATACAGCAATTGCACCATCATTGGCTGACTGGCTGGCTGGCAACGCAAGTGGGTATCCTGGTCGATAACTCTTCGCTTCTCCCACAACCCCAGTTTCATGGTTAAAGCTGTAGTTACTGCAGCGACGAAGCACAACTGTCTCGATGCAGATAAGATTAATCTTCATGTATTGTCACCAGCCCAGTACTATTGGGGATCCTACTCGCTGCCCTTTATAGAAATTCGCATCAGCTGTCCGAATCCTCGGCATTGTTACTAAATGAGGGCGATTAGGCTTCCGATGAACAGAGAAATGACAACCCAGCAGAGCGATCGAAAACCAGGATGCGCGTTGACAACCGGACGACAGTGAGACGCCCACGCAAAGGGCCTGTTCTCTGTTGGCAGCACCAGAGAAAACTCGCCTCTCGCAGCCTAGAATTGTGCGACACCGAATCGGTCGTCCCCCAATTAGCAAACACCAGCGCACAGCGAAGAAAACGACGACGACGACGAGGAGAAGGAGGAAAAGACTAAAGAGATAAAAGTTGAGATAAAAAAGAAAAAGACGATGTTTCCGCCCACTAGATTTCATCCACGTGACAAAAGAAAGAATCCAATCGGGGAACGCTTGGCGCGGCTGTGCCCGAGTGGGAACAAGGGGCGGAACACGCGCCCCAGAGCCTCCTCAAAGAAGTGGACGAGAACGCGGGGAACATCATGGCCTCGCCGCGTTCTCCTCGCTCCAACTCCATTGTCATTACTTTCGCAACCGAGGCAGCGTCTCGTTCCCAACAAACGTTCCCCTGGCCACATATCAACGAAACCCAGCTCATTTCCGTCGAAGGTCCGTCGTTTTTGGTGCTATTATCATCGACTGATAATTTTCTCGTCGGATCGTGTCCTAGACCCCACCCCTTCTTCGCGCTCTTGTACTGCTTCGGAGTCACCTCGCGGTCTTTTTGCGAAGCAGATCATCAGACGTGGTGCCGAATCCGTGATTTTGTTTGGTGGGTTTGTCGCCCTGTTGCGATTTTAGTCTATGTCTCTTAGAGGTGACAGTGGACTGTGTTTTTTCACAATCGAGAGGGGTGGTGCGGTGGTGGTGGTGGTGGCAAAATGCGTATGGGAAGGTGAGGTCATTGGCAGATCCTTGGAATGCTTGGCATGGGAAGAGTAGCGGTTGCGCGATTGGCTTGTCGTAGGGAGTGTCTGTGAGAGTGTAGGATGGGTAAGGTCTTCGCCGATTTCGGGTTAAAGTGTGTGTGTGTTTATTTTTGCTGAGGTTTTTGTAGCTCCTCTGATTAGGTCCTTGGTTGTGTTTTATCATCGGATTGTGATCTAGAAGGTTTATGACAGTTGCAATGCTTTAGCAGTTCGTCTTCTACACGAGGACATGAGAAATGGGTTTTGTAGCTGTGTATTCTTCTTGCTTTGAGTTTCTGGTTAGTGCGCGCCATTCTTACTCCCATGAATAGAATCTGGAATTGTTGATATTTTTCTGTTGTTGGAGTTATCTGAGCTGGTTTTTGGAATTGAGGATGGCGAGGTTGTGGGGATTTAGTGAAAGATAGTGAATGAAGAGGTTTTTTTTTTTTACTTTTATATGGGATTGACTTATTCAAACCTGAGCATGAAAAATCTTTGGACACATTCAAGCTCGATGCATGAGGTGTGGCTATGTCCACGGGAATTTCGGGATTGAGCCTGGAAAGGTTTGAGTGTTCCAAGTCCAGTGAGAATTTCAAACTTCTCGCTTATTTCCAACTGGCCTGTTGCAAAGTCTATTGCGACATTGGGTTCTTATTATCTGGTGATTTTCCGCCAAATACGTATGTATTCTAAAGTCAGTGCTCGTTTTCCTGTCATATGCAGGCTCGAAGTTTTAAACCATTCCATCACATGCGAACGACGATTATTCTATGAGTTCTATCACAGTTCTCTAGCATTAGAAGTGCTGAATCTGAACCACGCTGTACCTGGTTAAAGAAGGAATACTGTATTTCATTTTTGGAGAAACTCTTGGCATAGTTTATCGCGAAACAAGCGGGCGCTGTTACATTTCCAGGCATTTACAGGTTACAGGTGGACAGGGGTACTGTCTTTGAAAACTTTGCTGGCTGTTTGAGGATTACCCCAACAGTTTCTTCAAGCGAGAGAGCCCGGCGTTGAAGTCTATCTTCCATGGTAGCGGTAGTGTTTGCAACAGTTAGAAAGTCCCTCCTTGCGTGTCAAGCTGAAGAAGAGGTGGAAATCGTCGAAGCAGTGACCGCACGAGCGTGCATTAAGCAATCAGCGAGTGTGAAAGGGAAGAAACTCAAGATGAGCATGGATATTGGGTGGCCAACAGATGTTGAACATGTTGCTCATGTTACTTTTGATCGTTACAATGGGTTTCTGGGTTTGCCCGAGGAGTACGAGCACGAAGTTCCTAGGCCCACTCCTAGTGCAAGGTTTGGCTTCATTCTATACCTTATAAAATTGCCAGTTTTTATTGTGGGGGGTACCAGAAAGCAGATTGGGATGTCAAATGTTCATTGCGGGCTCACTGTGCGAACTTTCATGGTGCAGCCAAAATGTGTTCGGCGTCTCAGCGGAGTCGATGCAGTGTTCGCTTGACGCTCACGGCAACATGGTTCCGACGCTTCTTTTGCTCCTACAGAAGCGGTTGTATGACCAAGACGGCCTCAAGGTGTGTTGCGTCAGAACATTGGCTGAAACTAAATTTCCTGCCCTGTGCATGGAGCAGTTTCCGGCTGTAGTTTGAGTAATTGTCTTTCCGATGTGCTTTGATAGGCTTTGATTAAGTAAATATAACACCGCTCTTTTTAAAGGACGTCTAAATTTATTTAATTTGATATTTACTTCTCATTCAGGCCGAAGGCATTTTCAGGATTAATCCTGAAAACAGCCACGAGGAGCATGTAAGAGAGCAACTCAACCTCGGAATTGTCCCATCGGACATCGATATCCACGCCTTAGCTGGCCTAATTAAGGTTAGTGTCCATCATTTCAATATGTGTTGGAGGGTTATGTCTGAATATGTCCAACGTGGTTTATCCCATGAAAGGAATCTCATCGAGTTTTCTCCTTCTTATTATCTTGTCTTTTAAACGAACTTGTAAATTTTTTGTGTGGCCTGGAATGTAGGCGTGGCTTCGAGAACTTCCAACAGGTGTTTTGGATTCGTTGAGTCCAGAGCAGGTCCTTGCTTGTCATGGTGAGAAGGACAGCTTGGCGCTTATTAAGCAACTGCCACATACGGAGGCTGCTTTGCTGAACTGGGCTGTCAACCTGATGGCCGATGTTGTCGAGCACGAGGTTCTCAACAAAATGAATGCACGAAATATTGCAATGGTGTTTGCACCTAACATGACGCAGGTATGTGATGTCGCTGCAATTGTGCGCCTCCCCAAACTTGTGACACTTTTCTTACCAGACTTGTAGAGATTCGGTCCTGTAGTTAGCAGACTCTCCGACTAGATTTCTACGTGATCTAAGGAAGTATTTGTGTTAAGCTTGTTATATGAAGTGAATAACATATTAACTATGATTCATTACTTGCAGATGGCTGACCCATTGACAGCACTGATGCATGCTGTTCAAGTTATGAATTTGCTCAAAACTCTGATTCTCCGCACTCTCAAGGACCGGAAGGCCTCGCTGCTGGAATCTCACTCACCGCCGTCATCACCAGAATTCCCTGGAACAGAAGAACCCGAACATGACCCTCAAGCAGCTCTCTGGGTCGAGGATGCCAACGATGATGACTACGGAGGCAGCATGTTCAACCGCCACGATCGGCAATGGTCTCAAACCTCTCACAACTCGTCGGCGGGGCTTCTTCGAGATTACGAACGGACTAGCTCTCAAAGCTCACACAGTGGTGCCTGGATGGGTCACGAACGCGGCAGCTCGCGGTATCCTCCTCTGCCCATTCCGACTCCTCAAGGTCGTCAACACACTTCTGGTTATGCTGGTTCTCAGAAATCAAGTCCTTATCTCAGCAGCAGCAGCGTCGGGACCAGTTACGACCGATTCAACTCAAAGAGCTCATTACTTAATGGCCGTGACGAGGTGCAAGGGAATTTCAGCCCCTTCATGCTCTTTCCACCGACACACAGCTTCAAAGCCAAGGCTGGAAGTGGCTGCATGACTCCCATAGACCGGACGGAACGGGTGGAAGCATGGTGAGAACGATGCTTGTCTCCACTTCTTCTGTTACGCTATGAAGAGTCACCGCTATGGAGATGAAGAGTCACGCTATTCCCTTGTTGGGATTTTAACACACCTCACGAAGTGGATTCTGTTGGGTTCCATGTGGATCAAGGACTGCCAGCAAAGTTTATGCAAACTCCTGAGCCTTCGTTTTAACGCAAGGAGGTCTGACTTGAATCGATGGTCTTTTACACACACGAAGCACAGATTGACCCGATCTATTTCGAAGCGTTGGGTAGAGGACGAGCGCACTTACTGGTCATGAAATCAACTGACCCTTTTTTTTTTTTTTTTTTTTTTTTTTTCCAAAGGTGAAGACCAAATTCAGTGAGATGCTCCACTGTCCTGATTTTAACGGTTGCTGGAGTCTACAATCTCCGGTGCCTTGTATTACCGCTGGTATCACTTGATTCTCTGTACACTAGTTCTAGGTAACTTGGTTTGTCATACATATCCAGTGGCATTATCCAACACTGAATGTGTGTATTGCTCGCTGAGCAAAAGACGCACCCATTTTTTTGGTCGAAGCCGCCTTCTTTTGGAGGCTTCTGATCGTAGATACTGCCAAGCTTTGTGTTCGGCGAATGTGGGAATGTGAATATGCGAGGTCAATTCGTTGTCAAGTTTTCCAATTAATCGAAACATGTTTCTTTATGTCTCTACCTGGTGCATTTATTTTTTCAATTGTGAGTCTGATGATGATGATTTCACAACTGCGAACTTGGATACTTGAAATGATAAATTGACGATTATTTAGGTTATTTTTGTCTGCAGATACTACCATGCTCTTCTGTTGTTTTAGAATGTAAGCTGAAGGCCTGACACCAGAAAGTGCTCTCACGAAATGTACATTTGGAACCAATTCTAGGATGTTACTTATGAATGGACGATGGAATTATATCTATGTAGGCAAATGTTAAGGAGACCCAAGTTTTTACTAAATCGACCCACCCATCCTATCCATCCTGGAAAAAAATAATGATTTCTAGATTTATTTTTCCACTGTTGGATGTGCAACCAATAAAAGCCAACCACATTCATCATGATTACCATATTCTTTATAAAAGTTGGGTCTATTTAATAAAAGCATAGGTCTATTTAACATTTCTCTCTCTCTTTCACTATATATATATATATATATATATATATATTTGAAACTTAAATGCTATATCTCACTTATCTACTACCATTTCCAAATGTTGCATGTGATTTGTTGATGTCATCTAAATGCAGAGGAATGCATAACTATTTATAGATATGGGAGAGGTTTAGCAGGCTCTGGTGAGCAAGTCAATCTATTTTGAATTGGTAAATTTTGATTTGTATTCTAAATGATTTTTGTAATTTGTAATACTACAAATATTGGATTAACTTTGAAGAATGAGACATAAGATGTATGGATGTAAGATGTATAGTGGTAGTATACTTTCTAAAACTGATCAATTCACTACAAAACACAATTGTGTTGTGTTTGGATATTTGATTTTTCTTAATGATAAATGAAGAAGTCATTAGTATTTAATACTCTGCTAATTAAAAAAATTGTGCTAAAGAAGTATAATGAATTGTTTATATTTGACAAGATTTTAAAAAGTTGATAAACTCTTATTAATTTTTTCCAAGATTTGTGCATGGAAGTTTAGATTAAATAATGTGCCTTAAACAAAGTATGTTAGTGGATGCTTCTAAACTGCTTAAGGGATAAAACTTTTAGCAAGATTCATGTATTACACTAATATTTATAAAAATTAAATTTAAAAAATAAAAAGTGATTTTATTAGCAATGCTACTGGCAACTTCATAATAATATATTCAATATAGTTTTAAGTGTTATAATTTATTTTTATTTTGTAATTCATTCACTTGAACATTGTTTGTTTATTTATAAACTATAACGAACAAGCATTCAAGACTAGTTTGTTATTATACATAAATTAATAAACATTCTTTAAATGAATAAATTATATTCATTAGTTGTGATATCATATTTAATATAGATGTTCATTATATTTTATATTATTGCTTCTTCTATCCTATTTAATTTCTTTGCAAAAAAATATAACCTGAAATTAGAGTTGCAACAAAAAATCTTTATATTTAAAAAAATAAAAAATAAAAAATTCTAATTATTTTTAGAGTTCAGATTGTTAATATATTATATTTCATTTTTCTAATTAATTTTGGAGTTTGTATCGTTGATATATATATATATATATATATATATATATATATATATATTATCATAATTAATAATCTAATAAAAGTCATGGAATTTTTTATAGTAAAATTATAGAGCCAAATATCAATTTCTAATAAGACCAATAATTCTAATATAAATGAATGATTTTATTTGGTATTTTTCCTCCAAGAGTTTTAAGTACTAGTTTTTTTTTTCAAATATTAGAAGTTGTATATAGCATCTTATATATTTGGTTGTAATAGATTTTGCAAAGGCTTCATGTAATTGTTGGAATAGAAAACATGTATGTGTAGATTGAAGTTATATAGATATGATTTATTTGCATCTTTGTTTTCATAAATGTCTATAGTGACAATATGAGTGGTGATAGTATATTTTACAAAACAATTGTCTAGTCTCTCTTGATATTCTTAGAATGATAGAAATGATAGAAATTTAAAAATCAACCTCAAATAGGATTTTAGGGGCCTTTTCACTACCTCTGGAATTACTAGAAACTAGTTAATATCTTTTAAAAGTTGTGTTTAAAGAAAGAATTAATTTTATATTAAAATACTAAAATATTGGCTTATTTAGGTTAGTTTTTAATGATGTTGAAATAGACTTTGTATCACCCACTTTTCCTTGAATTTCATACCTATATTGATATATATAAAAATAAATATAAAAAACTTAAAGAAAAAAGAAAAAAGAAAAATCTTAAAAAAAGGAATATTTATATACTAGAAAAAATATTCACATATTTAATTAATGCACAACTACACTAATAGTTGTAAACTATATAAATAAATTAATTGGAATAAATAAAAACTAAAAAAAATTATCAAGTAGGTAGCAAGTTGTGATGGTAGTAGCAAAACAATAAGTGGCACTAGCAATATCCTAAAAAAATTCCGAAATAAAGAAAAGAATTTGAATATTTTTGAAGTTGTATATATGCTACAAAAAATTTGTTATAATAGGTATCATATTTTTTTTAAATCTTGTTGTGATCAAATATGATACTTTTAAATTTTTGGATAAATCAAATTGTCAATTAAAGTCTAGAAGTCTTAAAAAACTACTTTAGAAGTTGTTTAGTAAATATGCACTAACTTTCTAGCTTTTTATTTTATTCATAATATTTGATTACATTACTATTTGATACTTGGATAATAAAATTGGAAAAATGTTAAATTGACCCCAACTTTTATTAAATTGCAAGCCTTCTCCTTAGGCAAGTTATAGTCTCATGATTGCTCTTCTTGGAGCTCTTATTGTCATACAATTATGATCACATTTAATGTATTTGTTGATTGATTGATCGTTTGTGTGAAGATAATCCAAACAAACAAACTTGACATTTTACCTCATCTTTATCAATTGTACATGTGCTTCACTTTACATTCTAATTGCAAATTATATGGACACAAACAATGACTACAACTATTTGAGCGTTAATTTGTATTCCTTTGTAAAGACCAGAAGCAACAAGAGTGGATGATGTACAAGGTGACAAATCTATTGTTCATTCTTCTCTAACAAACACAGCTTCAATTGTTCAAGACTTGGCAAACACTTACATTTGATCAAGACTGAGGCTCAAATGATAGACGGGGGATGGGCACTTAGTACCTTTCACACAAGGGTGGAATGTTCAATGATACTGTTATTCTTTTGCTTCTAACTGGGAAATGTAGGTGGAATATAAATCAGCTATGAGAAGATTTATCTCGTAGTGTTACTGGCAGTGTATTGTTCAGTTGCATTTGAGGTTTTAAGTCGTGTACTCTGCCACCCTTCCCAAGTACACATGCTAAGGCGCACACACACACATATTCATACACAAGAGTGAAGTTTCACTTAGTCTTGGCCGGATTTTGTCTTTTCTTTTCTTCTGTTTTATTTTTATTTTTATTTTTATTTTATTTTTCATGTTTTGTTACGACAATATTTACCTGTAGTTGATTGTCGAATTGATTATTTGTTCGAGTACATAAAAAGTTTGGCTTATGATTGATTGGAAGATCATGTTTCTTCAAATGTAACAGCTATTAGAATCTAAGATGTGATGATTTCCTTCACATTCTAAAACTTTGTGTAATGTTAGCACTTAAACCTTTGGCAAAGCTGTAGATAGACATAAAAAAGATTTGAGGCTGGATGATTTTTTATAACCTCTTTTTTGTGTTTCGAGGATCTCGTCATTTTGAGCTTGTTGTATGAATCATAATCGTTCGAGACTCGTACACTATTTTCTTTCTCAACTATTTATATTTTGCACGCATTGGGGGTTGAAGGGTTTTCACATGTTTTGGCGTGAGTTTTGCATCAAATTTGGATCTGATTCAGGTCTATCTTTTGGCCTTTTGTTTTAAATGTGATCTTTTTATTCCCATTATTGTTGGACATGGAGGTCAGGACTGGGGACGGGTGCTGAGAATACAAGGGGGTGTGATGATGGTTTTGATAAGTGGATTGATTTAGTAAAAGTTGGGGTCAATTTCACATTCCCCTAAATTTGTAGCTTATTTGATGATTTAGAATTTCAGACTTTAGCAACAAAAAATAGGCTTGCAATAAGCTTATTTGTGACAAAAACAAAACTTTAAATAGCTTTAAAACAAAAATTTAGATTAATTTTACATGTAATAAGCTAAAAAAAATTAGATGATGGAATAAGTAGTGTGAAATAATACCTCCTCCCTAAACATCTTTTATTTAGTTTCTTCATTTAAAAACTCTAACTAAAATGTAACTAATTCTTCTTCTAGCTGATGCACATCCAATTTTATGTCAGTGCCAAATTTTCCCCAAAAACTTGGATTTAGAACTGTTTGAGTTATTATCATTTTAAAATAAAATTCTCATGGCTTCCAAAGACTACACCTGAAAAAAACCATCGTTGTATATATAGATCTTCTGAGTAATACGAAGATGCTATCCAGCATCCTACAATCGTCAATAGTTTCTGCTCTTTGGTGGTTCATTATTTGCTGTAGATTATAACTTTATTTTCTTCTTTCATATCCACTTAAAAATCTATTAACCACTCCTGAAAATACCACACAAAAGATGCAATTTCAAAGAAATGATGTATTTAACAGTTACGATAAATATGTTGTAAAACAAAACAGAACTAAAATAAAAGGCTAATTAGGAGCAGGCACAAAACAATACCAGCAGGCAGACTAGAGCTTTATCCATCAAACAAGTGCGACAAAGCAAAGAATGTAACAGTAATTGATCTCTTTCATGCTTCAGAAGTACAGAAACAAAATTTTAGTAGCTTCCAACTAACTTGTCCTCCTCTGATAAATATGAACGCGCCGTGTCTTCACCAAAAATTACAAGTTAAAACGACTATCCAGCGCAAGGAGCCCCCATCAGTAGTAGACCTTGTTCCTTTGACAGTGCCTGCTTCTTCACTAATAACTTCACAAACCGCGTGTGCTCCGCTATGCAATATATGACACTGTCTCTAACGTCCCGAATCTACAGCGACTCTAGCTTCTCCCATATGGGTGATAGCGTCCGCGGCTGCTGCCACCGCCGCCGCTGCTGCTGCTGTAACCACGACTGCTACCGTAACTTCCACCATAGCCGCCACCTGAGCTATATCCTGCACCATAACCTCCTGTGCCGCTGTATCCACCGTATCCCATTGACCCATATCCGTCAGCTCCATCGCCATACCCACCCATCATCCCTGAACCGTAGCCACCGCCAGAGCCATACCCTAAACTGCCCCCATATCCACCTCCCACACCTGAACCGTAGCTTCCGACCCCCAAACCACCTCCATAGCCTCCACCATATCCATATCCTCCACCGTAGCCTCCTCCATAGCCCCCACCATAACCTCCACCTCTTCCTCCGTACCCACCCGACCTATATGAAGCTCCATACCCAGCACTGCCAGATCCTCCATAACCATCGTATCCTGCATAGCCTCCAACTCCGCCTGCACCGTAACCCCCACCCCTGCCGCCTGGGTAGCCGCCGCCTGGGTACCCACCGCCGGGACTGTCTTGAATAGGTCGTTTTGGCTCTGCTTTCTTGATCTCCACCTGGACGACCCAAACCAAAGCACATTCAGCACACCACGATCCATAGCAACATCACAATGTTGTATCCTCTAACATTGTCAACCGTTGTTGAAATCTGCCGCTAATTTTCAAGTTGCTAGTCAGCCCTTGTATGATAAGGTTGGACAGGTGTGAGCAATCACGATCATTCACCTGCTTTCCTCCAAGCTCGTGCATCTTTCCGTGAGCAAGAATGTCTTCCACCACCTGCTCGCTGTCGAACGTCACGAAGCCAAAACCACGCGATCTACCGGTGCTGTGGTCTTGCATTATTTGGTGCTCCACTACGCTTCCGAAACTAGCGAAGTAGCTTTTGAACTCCTCTGTTCACCAACAACCACAACGCCCTCACTCAGCACCCCGACATCACCGTCAGCTCCCAAAACCCTCACCTTTTCTTTTTATTCGACCTGTCCCTAACAAGCGACACCTAACACCTAGCAGTCGGGCTCACACAAACTGGTTTCTGAACTGCATAGTCAAAGGTAGGGAAGGCTAATGCTCGCAAGCACTTCTGCATACCATCTGTAATAGAAGGAGGAATGCCTCCGACAAAGATCTTCTTAGTCTTCGGTCCTTTACTTGCTGCCATGTTTTCACGAGGAACTGACTTTTTGGCCTCCACCTGCAGCTACATCTAGTGAGATCCCATTACACCTCTATTGCTACCAATCACTCTAATCCACTCTACATCAGTAAGAACTATCAAAACTTACGTTGGGAACTACCCACTACAAGGAACGAGCTACCAGTACTCGACAGGTAAAGATACGTAGACCCACAGACTCGACCCGAAACTCACCGTTCTCCCGTCAATCACATGCTTGTCCAGCACAACGTTATCGCACACGGCTGGATCAGCAAATGTCACAAATCCAAATCCGCGCGGGTGTCCCGTAGACCGGTCTTTCATGATGACCGCATCGATGATCTCACCATACTTTTTGAAGTGACTCTGCAAATTGTCTGTAAAAACCCAACAAGATAAGAGACGATAACACGCGCAGCCAGCTACACCGACTATAATCTCATTAGACTCCCTGAACAATAACGGACTTGACGGTCTGTATCCCAGCACACGAATGGTAACAACTGTTCGACCACATTACCATATTCAGTGCACCGCACAACAACTCAGCTGTCGGTAAAGACTATCTCGCTGATTGCGGGCCAAAGCTATATGCATACACTTTTATTCTTCAGACAGGCAGAAAAAGAATCACTCCATCAAACTAACGTAATTGCACACATACGTCGTCAACCACGAAAAAAATCGGTTCAATTGAAACCACAGAAGAGTGGTTGCCATCTAAAACGATAAAGTTTGACAGTTGTACCCAAATACCCGACCTACGACCACACTGTGCACGTGACTACCGATGCAAAACAATAAAAATATAAAAAATAAAAAATAAAAAAACGATGAAGTGACCTCACTGACACCCGAAGTGCAATGCAAATGTTATGAAGCACAACCAAGAGAAGCGCACACACCTGTAGAAGTGTCCCATGACAAGCCGCCGATGAAAATCTTCCCTCTATCAAGCGAACGGGTAGTGCGTTAGCTATCATACATGTCATGGCCAGTGACCAATCTAACCTCCTACATGCAAACCCCTCCGGAATCCCAATCACAACATACTCGAGCGAGGACATCTACCATCTAGGAGGCCAGACTAATGGTGAGACTACCACTAGAACTAGAGCTAGGGCCACTGGCAACTAACCCTGAACCGGACGCTTTCCCTTGCGAATCGCGAGGCGAATCCTTGAAACCACTCTCTACCATTGAGTCTCTTGCCGACCCTCCGTTCTGAAACCCGTTGTTGTTTCGTTCCTCTTCGTCGTCGGGGTGGGGCTCGTCGTCCTCAACGGCGTCCAGCTGACGCTGCTCCTCGTCATCTACATCGTTGTCCTCAAGCGTCCCGTTTAAGTCCGGCGCCACTTCTTGCATCCTCTCCACATCGCCCCCTCCCTCCATCCTTCCCAGCCGAGCAGAAGCAACAGCAGCAGCGGCTGCGCCGTCTCAGTGGCCTCCCCCTCCTCCTTCACGCCCTCTTCCTCTTCCTTCACTTCCTAAAACTCAGCCTCTGTTAAAGCATGCTCTGCTTCAAAACAATCTGCTACCCCAAAACCTGAACCTGCAAACCCTAACCCTCCCGATTCCGTCTACGTGGGTTTCGAGCACGGCGGAGAAACTTACCAAACGCAACTGAGCACTTGCGTGTTGTGAGGATTGGTGCGTTGGGCCTCGATGTGGGCGCGAAATTGATGGAAGTCGGAGATGGGTTCGGTGCCCAACAAATCTGTCGACGTCGCTGCGAAGCGGAAGAAAGCCAAAAGTCCGCGGAGGGGAGAGCAGGACTTTCTATAGAAGACTACCGTGGACAGATATCGTTCATTCGTCTGTGGGATAATCATTCATCCAATGGACGTGGATGCCGTTTGACTTGGAGGATATTCTCTTCCGTGGTCCCTTTCCCGCGTCGCTATTGACCTCATGGCGTGCTCTGATTGGACGAACCCATCCACGTAGGATTTGGCTTGCCTTGTCACTGTTTTTTGCTTCATTCACTCATTTATTAATTCGTTTATTTTTAGAAATATGTGAATAAATTTTCATATTTCCGTGGAATTATTTGTAAAATTCATAAATTGGCTTGACAATTGAACATGATTTTATAAGTTTAAATGATGTTTTTAAAAATAAAAATAAAAATAAATCTAAGAATTGTAGTCCATAGACAATATAGTTACTGCATTTTGGGTCACATGTGACTCATTTATGGGAATAAATCAGTAGATGGAAATAAATACATTCTTTTTAGTTTTTTTTAAAGAAAAGTAAAATTTTATTATGAAAGATAATTGTAAAATTATAATAATAATACAATAAAGCATTGTTTATTTATTATTATGTATTACATTTAATTTATTTGTTATGTATATTAAAAGTAAATTTAATTTAATGATGTGTAGCATGTGTTTAATTTAATGTTGTGTAGCATGCGATTTTCAAAAATCTGATTTCATCAAATTTAAGTGGAGCACAGGGAATTATTGAGCATATAAAATCAATAAAACATTAGTTAACTTATGAAGTATATAACAGTTTTCTATGCAAAAAATAATTTTCTTATAAGGAAATATGTTAAGAATTATAATCTAGGGTTTTTATGTATTAAGGCATGCAACATATTTGAATTGATCTATGTATTTTTTGACAAGAGCTTACGAGTCACATGTAACAAGGATAAAAATTGCTACAAGTATCTAAAATTTAGAGGTTGATACTTTGAAATATGCCTGTTTTTTTCCTTGATCATACAAGTTTAATAGACTTAATAGATTATTATTATTATTGTTGAATTCAAATGCTTTCAAAACATTCTTAAAGGTGCATAAGTTTATTGATAAATGAACATAATAAGTTTTTTGATGTTTAATAACCTTCCAATCAGAGCCTCCAGTTCCATGTCGTTACATGGTAGCTTCAAAATTATTGATGAAAGTCATTGTTACAGTTAGTAAAGATTAGCAACTTCAAAAAGTGTCCTTTAAAAATTAAACCGAATTCATTGTCTGGGCACTAAGTTCTGGTTTCAGCTACCATGGAGTAGTAAAAAAAAAAGCCATTCAATTGCGTGAAAATTTTATAATTTTCATGACATATATTTCATCAATATTATCATATTTCAGGAAGAAACTTGATGAACAAATTAAAATCGTCAACAATTTGGTTTCTCATTAGATTATTTCTCGACTGTTTCCTAAATCCACGTTTAACTTGAGCAGCGGTGATCATTATTGTCATTAAGAACATTAACCTCCAAGAAGCCAAGACAAGCTTTTAAGGGCAAGCAGATGAGTGAGATAAATCTTAAATAAGTCTCATAAAGCTTGCCTGATAGATGTATGTACAACTTATGCAAAATTAACTTCAACATACATGTGAATTGAAGTCTGTTAAATATTTGCACTTGTGGACATGTAAACTGGAATGAACATAGTGGCACTGTTGTGAGAGGAGTCTTCAAAAACAGAGTGTTGCTGTATAACTAGATCAGGTCAAAAACTGTAGATTGGGACACCCGGTACAGTCTGAAAGATAAAACCAGGGAGACATAAAAGAAACAATGGTACTAAGAAAATGGATACCCGATCCTCGAACCTAACATTAAGAGCAACTCCTGCACATGCTAATAATTATGCCTGCACTAGTATCACTATTCACAAATTTCTACCAGATCCATGGAGGGGTCGGGTCCCTTTGTGCCCTTCATGACTTGCTAAACCAAACATAAACTCTGCTAGAATTAGCAGTGCTCAGAACTGTCGCATCACCGCCTACAGCTACGATTTCCTTAAAATATAGTTGAAAGCCAACACAAAAGCGCTGTAGTGAAAGGTAAAATCCTGATCCTGTGACCCCTTTTGCCATAAGAATGACAGATGGTAGCAACAGTATGATAAATACCATTCCCACGTGACGAAAGAATCTCGATGCGATAGCCCTTTCCTTGAGTTGTCCCGTCTTCGATGCTCAGCGTTCTCTAGGTGGTAATGCATTCACTGTTGCTGCTGCTCGGGGACAAAGGCAGTCTGGGATTACAGCAATACAATAAAATCAATCCAAAACGGGAAGACATTGAACAGATGTAAAACCTATGAAGGCATCTCAATCTAACATGCAATATCCACTTCGCAGCTTTACTGCAAAACATCATAGCCAGAAATGAAAATAAATTCAAACGATTATGACTTGATGAGAAAATAATCCGGAGCCTGCAATACCTGTGGAGGCTGATACATCATTTGTGGGTTTGGTGGCTGCCCAACCATCATCTCCTACATCATAATATCTAAGATAAGCATTCCAGAAAATTCCCATCTCGACCCTCACAAAACCACCAATTTGAACCACAAAACATATCCAATGAACAACCTAGGGATTGCATTCGAGCAGGCAAGTATTATGCACCTGTGATGAGCGCCAGTTCCTTACATATCTCACAGGACATATGCGTAATTCAAAACTAACTCAAATATTGAAATTAGAGAGATGTTGTGAGGAAATTACAGGAGCCCCCATAGAATGATGCATTTGCTGTCCAGCCATGGGTGGATAGAATATTCCTCCGTAAGGTACAGAACCATCCCCTGGAACACCAGTCCATGGCACACCCAAATCTTCTTCCTGGGACACATTATATGCAGATGAGATTGTATGAAGAAAGCTTCGGAAGAATTTTGTGGATGTTACGATTTGCAAATGATTTGGAACCATTAAGACACTTACAACAAAGAAAATACTGTAAGCAGAAGACGAGTGCCGAAAATTGATTGGACTAAGCAAAAATCAAAGGAGGCCATGGCAGACTGCCATTCTACAACCTAAAAGAGAGGCTTAGTATACAGCACATTTATTATTAACTATTTGATGATTTCGCAAAAGCACCTTCAACTCGTCACGTGGAACGATGTCAACAAGAAAGTCGAAGATGTCTCCCCTAGTGATAGCCCCTGCAATATCATTTCTTTGTAGTGTCCTTCGCTTATTTTCCTCCGTATGAATCCAAGAGCGCAGTGTCAATTCTAAAATAAACATCTCACAAGCTTTTGAAAACAGCACTGGAGCTTCGGCTGCGATCATCTGTTGGAAAACATGATAACAAAGTTCAGAGTACGTGAAATCATAGATCAGAAATGCCTTCAAGTCAAATTGAAACTTCAAGAAAAATTCACGCAAATCTTAATTCATTACTTAAGAACGTGAACTGCGCTAATAAGTGGATTTGCTTCAACACAAGCTAAATTCACTACTTAAAGTGAAACCACCGAGTGTTGGAAAAGTTTTTCAAATACAAATGTAAAATAAATAGAACAGAAAAATGCTGACCTTAACATCTTCATCCGACTTCATGATTTTTTTGATGCGTGCCAGTGGTAGCTGATGGGTCTTAAAATCTAAAAGAACACGTGAAAGAAAATGTAAGACTTGAACTCTAACATTCGATAGAATGGTAACAACTTCGCCTAACTCCAAGCCCAGATATGCGGGATCTTACGCACAAATCAAACCCGAATGACAAAGGATTGTCAAGTCTATAATATGGATACACGCGACCAAAAAAATGCACGACAAGACTAACCTAAGAGAAGCATATGTCACACCCCTACATGATTTGGACATGACGGTATATCTTCCAATTAAACTACTCTACAATTTTAGACCTCTACTGGTAGGTCGAAGATATAGAAATTTCACGTTGACGAACTCCTGTATCTCATGGTTGATTTCATCTTCTAAAAACCATTTAGCTGCTCTTATTATTTACAGACACCCGAGTGCTAGTGCTCTTAGAAGATTGGATATTCAAAAGACGAATAATCTGCTTCATGCATGAGTGAAAATGCACCATTGACTTGCTCCATTTCCTGCATTTGCTGCTGCCAGAACTGGGACAGCTGCTGTTTCTGAATTTGCTGATAATGAAGCTGCGGCTGCATCTGCACTCACCATTGTAGTATTAGAACAGTTCAACCAATACTTTTTTCTGAAGACAGACGAATACAGTAAGAGTTCAGCAGCGACCGCTGACATGCCAGAGGAAGTATCTCTATCTAGCTACGAGCGTGTTAAGCAACAACGAGGTGACGCCTTGCAGGAGTGCTACCTGCTGATCACCAAGCTGCGGCATCATCTGAAAAGTTATCAACCACTTAATTAGCCACGTTTGGTAACCAATGCAAAACGGATAGAATCAACCGTAGCGAACAGATGATTCGGCTGGTAGATCCACTTTACTGGGACAACAAACCCCTACTTCCAGCATGTGCTACTATAACTGTTTGAAGTGAAACTTTACGATGCGAAAACTATAGCTTATAACCAATAACACGCATCCAAACCCATCTTTCGACAAACTTTCGGTCTAAAGGCTCAATTTTTTCATGTTTTTTCTAAACTCGTGACCAACGAGCTCGTCTTTCAGATTCAGAGCACACGCAATCTCGAACCCTAGTCCAAAAAAGGCTCCACAGTCTCGTTGTTCAATTTCAGGTGAACCCAAGAACAAGGTATCCATCCGGACTCCACCAGAAACACGGGTCGACCAACCAACATGCACAACTGAAACTGGCCCCATACATTGGACGTCACAAAATCAACAACTAGGCTCACATCGATTTCAACCCATTTCTTGCTACGAAGCCCAGCACAGGAACTAACACCCTCGCAAAAGCCACGCCCGTAGTTACACCAAAGTGATAACCAACGGCAGGAGATTCAACAACCTAAGACGCCAAAAGCATACCTTAGCCACCTCCTCGTAAGCTACCCGCAAACCCCATGTCGGAGACAGAGACGATCACGGTATCCACAAAGCGATTCCGCCAGATCGAACCAACCCAAAACGAAACCCTACTCGTGTCCACATCAGGAGAAGCAGCTGGTGTTCCAAGGCAAGGAATCCCCGACACGACAGCCATAACGAAGCCATACCACAGAGACTCCGTGGGTACGATCAAGGCGCCCGGAAAGACGAAAGCAAGGCGATTCTGAGTTGAAATTGTGAGCGCAAGAGAGAGGGCAAGAGAGAGGAAGAGCGAGACCGAGAGACCGAGAGACCGAGAGAGAAGTGGATCAAAGGGGCGTAGGAAAACTGAAATGCGCTTGGAGAAAAGAAAAAAAAGAAAACAATACACACGACGTACCTGTTGCTGGGCTTGCGGGTAGTGCATCTGTAAAGGCATGACGGCGCCAGGATGCGACATCTGGGGTGCAGAGGAAGGCGGGATGTGAGGATGCTGCTGGGCGGCCATTGTTGGATGGCGCAGATGATTCCGTCGCTGAACCTCCTGCCCCCCTCCCCGCCCCTGGTTCCCCTCCCTCCCTTTTCTGACCCCTATCCCGCACTGCAAAATTCCCCACCCTCGGCAGGAATTCCTCACAACCCAGTTTTCTCTCTCTCTCTCTCTCTCTCTCTCTCTCTCTCTATCGATCTCTATCGATATCGCCTTGCTTGCTTGCGTCCAGGATGTCGTCGTCGTCGGCGCCGCATCCCCTCCTCCTCCTCCGCTGCTGGTGCTGATGCTGCGACCCCCGCATCTCCTCGCCCTCGCTCATGCACCCCGCATGGCCGGGCCCATCCCCTATGACCGTGCTTCTCGTCCCTCTCTTCACAGACTCCTGTTTCCACTTTCTCCGTCATAGGTCGGACCGGACCCAGCCGTCTCTGTTCATGGGTGCAGCTTTTTGCACGGCGTGGTTCAGCGTTGTCAACGCGAGAAAATGCGTTAGTTACCACGTGGCAATGACTATAAGATGTAGCATAGGGGTGGATTTTCCCACGGTTGTTAAGAAACATGGACAGTCTCGTTAGAATTCATGTTAGTGTCTCAAAAAGATATAGAAATTCACAAAAAAATTGTATTTGTATGTCTGTGTGTGCAAATGTAAGAAATTAAATGTGTCCACAACGTACTCAACTATCTATCTATATATATATATATATATATATATATATATTCTAAGGTGACTTTTGGATTTAATTTAAACTAAATTGGTTGTTGCAATATTATTGTGGACAGCAATGACAATTATAACTACAACTATATATATATATATATATATATATATGTATATAGTTATATTCATTTTTGGTTTCACTAGCAGTAAAACTAAAATATTACAATAATGGGCTTAAAATCCAAGGCATGCAAATAGTTTTTCAAAATCATATATTTTTTACTTTAGCTTTTTAGATGCTTTGTAAATTCAAACAAACTGGTTTATTTAAAAACCATAATGAATACATAATAATTGAAATAACTCAAACCTAGTGTAAACCGACCTTCTGTTTTTGTAATTACTAATAATGTATTTAAATCTTGCAGCAAGAATAACTCTTTGTTTTTTCACTGTCAATTTTTCTGCATCAAACAGAATGTGTTTTATGCTGAGATCAGGACTTAATTTAGACATATCATCAATATATAATTTAAACTTTTCGTTTGGTGCTTTATCTTTAAAAAAAAAAAATTACCATTTAATTGTGAAAAAAACAGATGTAATTAAAATACTGTTCATGTATAATAGATATACTTTTTTTTTTGAAGCAAATCCTATCAAGATGAATATTAGGAAAAAAATATATCTTAAAATACTATCACTTTCATTATTATCTATACATATATATATATATATATATATATATATACTTACTCTGACAGATAATATAACTCATTATATTGGTAATATAACTCATTATACTGGTTTACTGAAACAATGCATTATACTAATTATAAAGATAATTAAAATTTTAAAAATGTTTTAAATTAAGATAAATAATTTATCGTGTATATATATATAATTGGATGGACAGTGAAAACAGAACCACACAATACAAGCAATTCAATAATCAGCTCTGTGTTTTCTTAAATATCAAATATAAAAATAGGTTTAATATTCTCCAAATTAAATTACAATGACTCTAAACTAAAAGCTTGTACTTTATATTCCTATTATATGGAATAATGATAAACTGTCACATGGAAAAACATCTTCAAAAGATTGATCATCTATGTATGCTTTTCATAATATTATCCTTGCATTCAACCTTCAAGCTCCAACAACTCAGCTTGGTTAGCAATGTATCATGTTATAGAGAAGTGGCCCCCCCTTAAGTAATTTTGCACTCTACTCAAAGCAATTTTGATTTTTTTTGTTTGTTTGTTACAAAATAAATCAAATAAAGATGGAGAGTTGGAGCTTTGAATTTGGTTTTCTTCACCTAATGTGAATATCAATTGCATTGATACTAAATACCTAGAACATGTTAGGAAGTATAATCCCAAACTAGTCATGGACCTTTAGACATTTTACTTTTAACTACTGGAAGTCCATGTTGTTGGGCACAATTTATTTATTATTATTATTATTATTTTTTACAAGTTGTAAACCAGAGATCTTCTGCAAATTATATAGAACTTTTTGATAGTTAATGATTTTTTTGATTTTGACCAATGAAAGGACTTCCATGTTTCTTTGTTATATATCTAAATTTACTTATAATATTAGTTGAATCTAATTGTACATTGGAAAGTAGTAAGTAACTTATAGTATTTTGTATGGAGCCAATAATATTGGAGTGAATGTGGCACACAACAGTAACACAGAAGATAGATTCAAAGCTGTGTGGCAATTGCATATCAACAAAAATCATTAGCTTTTTATTCACGTGAAATCATGTTTCTTCTAGATGCTAGAAGAAACAAATGTTCAGTGCAAACACAACATTGTGAATGGAAATAATGTACTTATGGTTAGAGAAAACTTGACAATGAACTCTTCAAATTACAATTTTTTACAAATGTTAGAAAACCAAAAAATATTTTTTACAAAATTTTCAGAAAGAAAGAAGTAAAATATACAATGGAATATTCTTTTTTGAAATGTGTTATAATAATGGATTTCAAAAACCATTATTATGATTTTAGATTTTTTATAATATAAAATATTATATGTATAATCAAATATGAAATACCTTCTAGGAGAAACTGCAAGATAATTGATTTCATCAAATAATTGAAGAAATAATTGAAATCATTGAATTATTATTGAAAAAATTTCAAAAAAAATTTCAATGAATTATCATGTTATCATATTATTGAAATTATTTTAATTGTTACTTTTAATATCTATTAGAATTAAAATAATTGGTCCACAAACACAATAATCTATGGAATGATGGAACTTGATAATAGCATAAACCAATACTGGTTGAGTCTATCAGCTTTGGTTACAATTGCATTGAAACAAATCTTCAGCAAAAAATATTAAAAGTAACAATTAAAATAATTTCAAAAAAAAATATTAAAACTAACAATTAAAATAATTAAAAGTAACAATTAAAATTTCACCAAAAAATATTTTTTGTTGTCGTCAAATTCCTGGTTGAAGAAATTGATTTTGAGGTGGCTAACATGCTCAATCTTCACAATCCTAGCAACAATGCTTGCTATTGTCTAATTCTAATATAGGTTCAAAATTGGCATGGTTGTCTTTTTTTCTAATATTCAAAATTTAAAGTGCTTAGTATATCATGAATGCTCATGCTTTCTTATTGCTAGATATTACAAAAAAAAAAAAAAAAAAAAAAAAAAAAAAACGTTATTATTTTTCACGTGCTTTCCTAACTTTAATTGTTGTTTCAGCTAGAAATCAAAACATTTGCATAATCTTCAATAGCACTCGTTCTTACAACGGTATGATAAATATCTAATAACACTTGAGAATCTAGTAGAGGAAAATATGCACACTTCAAAATCACACGTCTTAGGATCACTTGTGTTAGCTAAACCTTTGAAACTCCATGCACTAAACCTCCTTAATATTCCAAAAGTTTGTGAGCACCAGGTGTAGCTGCACATCTGCTAAGGCCAAAGCTTGAGGTTAACGCTTTGCTTCCTTATGTGCTACTGGATCCACATTGAAATATTTTGAGCTAGAAATGTAAAACAAATAGGACATACTGAAAGGCACCAAGGTACAAAAAAGCAAAATTGATACAAAGAGAACTCTTGCCTAGCAATACTAGGGGCAAAATCTCCTTCATTTCCTACATTGCAAGCATCAATACCATATTTTGCTTTAATCACAAGCTGCAAAACAAAATATATTGAGTTTAGGTTGCTATCCATGATGTAAGATGTGTGCAAATCATATTAAAAAATCCATCACATTCATATGAAAAGCCATCACTAAGAGATTGTGTGGATCATGTGAGTGAATTGACATGAGTCACGTTGAATGCTCGGTTGCAGTTTTGGAGGATCAAGTTGGAGGCCATGCATATTTCATTCGAATAAAGATCATTGTTGCATTCAATATGCAAGTCTCTCCTTGAGCAGAAAAGATATGAAAAAACATATACACTTGCTTTAAGGATTGTATTGATTTTTGCGCTCCGATTTAATACACCATAACATAGAGAATGCCAATGTCTAGCATGCGAAAAAATTCATTGGACTGAAAACCCACTGTTGAGGTTGAAAGGGTGGTTAGAGACTTTTAAAGAAAGAAAAATATGCTTGTAACCACAACCAAAACATCACTTGATAGTTCTTCAAGTATTTGTTCTCATTATCTCTACAAATAATATGTCGGCAATGATCTCGATCCATTCAAGCACAACAACTTGAGGACGGTTCATTATATTATAACTGAACCCTAAATAATGGATCAAGTCGTAGAACACCTGAACCAAATGGCTTTGTAACCTCAAAGCTTGTAAGTTGAACAACCCGTTTATTTCATAACTTAATTAATTGCATGTCAAAATTGCTCTGTTAATCTCAATTAAAATGCTACATTAGTCTCAATTAAAGTAGTTATTAATCTCAAATTTGGTTTGTTTTTTATGATGACTTTTGACAAAAACAAAGAGGCATGCAACCAATAAAAGATAATGAGTTTAAATTTCTACCTGAAATACATTGTTGATTGGAAACCATGACTTTGTTAAGGGCATGTGAACTCTAGACAAATCTTAATATATAGATATGAATTGAACCCATGTTGTTATCATAGAAAATATGCTAAAAATTATTTAATTTTGTTCAAAGAATCACTTTTAAAATTTAATGACAAAAAAACAAAAATTATATTAAGTCATTCAATTATGTGTTTTATATAGAAATAGTTGCTCAAAAATCAACGCTTGCCTAAAAATTAACAAAGTGAAAGTCATAAAGTCATAGAGAACTCAAACTACAAGTGCAAGTAAGGCTAAAGTTCCAATGAAGGAGACAACATAAGTAGTAAATACATCATAAACATTGTAATCACCAAGGGAGGCAGTGGAAACAAGCCTCATCACTATACACTTTACTAAAGGACACTCCCCCTCAAGTAGCAACTATTTGAATGCATTGTGCATGAAGCTTACCTGAGACAGGCTTATTAGGACACCCAATTAGAAGGCTAATTTATCTCAGTTTATCCTATTAATTGAAACCTCCCTGATGTGTTTTATATAATATATATTATTAAATATTCTAAAGGGAGGGCTCCACCGCTACATAAGATGTATCCAACTCCAAGCCCCATCAATACACACACACTAATCACTAACACACCACACTATTATTGTTACCACCAACACTATCATTCCTGCTATTATTATAACACCACCAAGTGGACCCATTTACAGATGGACCACCCTACCAGACATATTCCAACCTTATCACCAACCCCACCTCCTGCCCGGTAGGACACGCCACGGCATTCATTCATCCATCCAAGCGACACATCAGCATCTTCGAATCGGAATCGAAATTTATTCATCCATGCGGACGTCGTCTCGCTCTCGCTCTCACTTCCCGTCTGCGCTGTGGATTTAGTGTTTTTTGGTTGCGAGGGCTTTCGTTGCAGTTCTGAGGCTCTCGTTTCGAAGCTGGGCTTCTGCGATGCGAAGGAAATTCAAGGCTGTAGTCGTTACTGTCTATGGTGGTAATTGTCTTCAGTCGTGAGACTTTGTCGCATAGCGGTGAGACTTTGTCGCATAGCGCAGCTTATCGTGTTGCTTCTGGCGGAGCGGGGCTATTTCTTCTGATTTTTCTAATATATATATATATATATATAAGCAGATACATTTCAGGGAGTTGTGTTGGCGTGGTTGTGCTGGCGATGCCGCCACTGTGGACTGGTGGCCATGCGCGTCGCAGGTTGTTGAGTGTGTTGGCGGATGCAGGTTACGAAGATTTTTGAGAAGGGAGATGATGTAGATCGTGCGGATTGCGCGCGGGAGGCATGTGATTAGGTTTTGGTGTTTGCGTGCGTGCGTGTGGAGAGACGTGCCAGGGCGTGGTTTAAAGAAGCGCTGCTTATAGGGATATTAGTTGCTGGTGGTGGTGTGCGTAAGGCTGAAGGTTCAAATGTCATCTGCGGCCGAATTTGTAGAGGGCGGTGCTCAGGATCCATGCGACGAAGCTTGTAGCATCTGCCTTGAGTCCTTTGGTGAAGATGACCCTGCTACTGTAAGCGGCCAATCGTCAATATTAAGCCCTTTTGAATTTTGAATTTTTGGTATTCTGGATTTGACCTCGCTGAATTCGGATGTGAAGGACTTTGGTTAGGATATTAGTGGCATGCATTTGTGCTTCGCGGTCGGGGATCTTATTTACAGACATATTTTTTTTGACGAACTTGAATTCATAGTTCGGCGTTTAAAAGACGCCCGTTCTTGTCCTGTCGATACTCGGTTTTTGTCCTGTGATATACTCTAAACTCGACTGAACTCATTGTGTAATTAATTGGCCTCTGTGTTTGGATTGTCGCAGGCTACTAGTTGCTCGCACGATTACCATCTGCAATGTATTATTGAATGGTAAGGGGTGTGGTTTCGTAGATATCCCTGCATTTCCAGTTTTATCGATTTTTTCCACGGATTCCAGAACTTGTATTGTCGAGTTTTGGAGTTTGATTCTGGTTTCTGCATTGGGAATGGCCATTGTTGTGGGTACAAATTTTACATTTATGTCAGCACCTTATCGCGGTTCTGGGTCTTAAGAACTCGACAACGTTGCTTTAGAATATTTGTTTAATCATCCCAAGGCTGATCATGTTGCGTGTTTGCGTATTTGTAACGTCTCAAGTCTGTTCATGACTGACTGACTGTCGCAAGTTTGTGAGATGAAATTGGATTGCTGATGCACCTGTCAATCTTCTACATTTTGACTCTACCGTTCTGTGGGTTTTGCAGGTCACAACGAAGCAAGGAGTGTCCAATGTGCTGGCAGCCACTCAGCCTGAAGGACCCGGAGAGGTATTTCTTTTATGATTATTAACCGCACGGCGTTTGCAACTGTTTTTTGCTTTACTTGCGGCGGAGGGAAGCTGTCGATCCTTTGTTATTTATACCAGTGACTACGTTTGTTGCAGTCAAGATTTGCTGAATGCGATAGGGCAGGAGCGGGCATTGCGTCGTCGTAAGTTACAGGCTGCTCAAATTTTTCATCAATCTGCGGTTGAAGATTATGAGTTCGATCGAGTAAGTCTTTTGCACTCTATCATCAAAAGCTGAAGTAGTCAAAGCCATCTTTAGAAGGAATCTTTACTTATTTGATGAACCAGAATATGTAAGCATGTCACACCTAACGTACTATTTTCTTAAGGATTATGAATGTATCCGCATGGACAGTTCTAGTGTGTATTTTTGTCATCAGTATCCAGACGGTGTTTAAGTATGACCTCGACAATACCTTCACTCATATTTCATTAATTAACTACCTGAGTATTTTCACCGCTCGTTTTCATCAAGCTCTCATCTTTGATAGGCTTTGTGGCATCCCTCATCAACGATGTTTGCCTCTCAGCTTCATGTTGAGGGGGTGCCCCGTTTTTCTTTAATTTATCTTCACATGTTAATGCAGTTTGCATCCTATGGGGCCGAGGATTTCATTATGCAGCATTTGGCGTCCGGGGCTATGGGACGAGCTCATCACACAAGCCGGAGGGAACAAATTCGTTTTCGGCCTACTACCTCTGCTCAGGGTCATCCACATTTTGTCCTCGTGTCCGGTGCACCTGCAGGTGCACCATCTTCCCCTGCATCCAGTTCTCCGGCTGCATCTCTTCCGCAGTCTAGTAATAGCGAGGCATCACTTGCAACTGTCTTCGGATTTCCTCATTACCCTGCTCCCAATAGAGACCACAGCTCAGCCAATTCTTCAACTATTAGGTAGGCTTGGTTTTGCAGGTCCATCATTGCTGGTGAACTGTGAATATTGCAGGATTGTCGCTTGTTTTGTATCTCGCCAATTTTGTAATCAAATATATAAAGCGGAGGATATTAGTATTCTGCACTTTTATTGTTGAAAGTACACATCAAACTTTTATTTCTGGTACGTTGGAAATCTGCTCGAAGGTCTGGAAGCTGGTTGTTGATCTCTGATTGATAAATCCTTCTGACCTGACTTATGCTGATCTGAAATTACTTACGTACCCTTTTGTCTCTACAATCAGATCGCAGAATCTCGAGTTAGAGGAGCATGGAACAGCTTCAGAGACTCTCGATACCTTCAAGTCTCGTGTGGTTGCAGCATCTTCTAGGTATAATTCTCGTAGAACATGGAAGTGTTGATTGTCTGAAGTGGAAATACGCTATTATTGTTATGATTCACTATTATTAACACGATTGTTTGGAAGTCCTTGTGTTTTAGATCAATTGTCAATTTTGTTAGATAACAAATTCTTCCCAGCCTGTATTGTATTTGTAGCTAGGCTACTATAACACCATGCTTTTTGCATGTTTTTATTGCTGATTCTTCTAAAACCTATTGTAACCTCACAAATTGTCGGTGTTCACACCGAAGGTTTCTGATGTGCCTGTGTATGACAGATACAAGGAATCTTTGACCAAGAGCACTAAAGGGTTTCGTGAAAGGTTACGAATACGTGGTGGAATCATGCAAGATCTTGGTGCACGAGCACGAGACATGAGTGCTGGAGTAGCACGAGCCTTAGAACGGAGGTCTGTAGAGCCAGGAACATATCGGCCTTATGGGTCCAACTCTCTTCATGGGCAACTTTCAGAGAACCCTCATCATCCACATGACCATGCTTCTGATCGCCGTGCTGCTGGTTCGGTCTCAGCAGGGTCACCGACAAGCAACCCTTCTGTTCCCCCTAACTCGCACTTCACTAAAACCCCTGAACTACGTATTGGGGCGGAAAATCAGGTTCAAAACTAGTCAGTAGGAGCAGGTCACTTTGGAACAAGGGCAAATGCTGGCATCTGTGGCTACTCCGACGACGAAGTAAGGTGTGTAGTAGGGCATGGTGCACGCAGCTGCAAAGTAAATTGTACAGAGTTGGGATACTTCATAGATCTACAAGAAAATAAATGATTTAAGTGCGGTCACATATGTTGCCTTGAGGGAGTTCTGGAATGTGTGATTTTGAACTGCGCATCATTGATTGTATTTGTCAATACCATCCTGTAAAGACCAACAATTCGTAATGTATGGATTTTGAAAGATTTGCCTAAATATATCAACTTTCTGCTGGCACACTGAAATACTGGGATACCTCATTCTATGTACTTGAGGGCAGCTTGACTGCACAGTTTTGATAAGTAAGCTTTACATCTATGTATAGACACATTTGTTGCACCTTTTCGGCCACGTGTTGCACCTCTTCGCAACCCTGTCGAGTTGCCACCTGGGAGGACCTCTTTTGCAATTTCCAACTCTTGTTGAGATGGATAACCTTGTCAGGCATCTAGGACTGGTGGAGTTACATCACATATAACATTGTTTATAGACTATTTTTGAGTGGGACAGACCATGTTGGTGACCATATCTTTTATGATTTCCACCAAAATTAGCGAGTTGGACTTCTACTTCTCGCTTGTGCAATGACCTCGGAAGTTTTATAGAATATTGTTCAAAATTGAACAACCTGGTGTGAATATTAACCCCAGCCAGTTCGTTGAAGATAACCTAATGTTGAATTCGTAATGTTAGATTCAAGCGCATGGGTTTTGTTGGTTCGACACGCTCGATGTTAGCTTCGTAGCGATAATTTTCATGCCACCTATGCTTTGCCTCCAAAGGTCAGAAGGTGATGTTGCTCCGCAAGTGGAAGAGGGTCCTTCGTCCTCAAAGACAAAAGCGCGACACAGCCATAACCAAGAGGTCCGTGTTGTCCAAGTAACACGTCCAGTATGCCGCCAAACTAAGTCCTTTCTTCTACTCTTATTGGCCTTTACATCGCATGCCGAGCGTGTACTCAAAAGAGGAAACATCCTTACCATTAAAATTACTATGTTTTGTACTCACATGGGTTTTTATTAATACAAGCTGCAACCTGTAACTTCGAGGTCATGGAGGTTGGAACATGCAATCTCATGATGGAAGTATTTCTTCAGCTCATCAGTTGCTTGCAAAGCTTGCTATCATCAGATCTCATGCTGGCTAACTGACCTGCAATCCTGGCCTCTTCATTGCCGTTTCAAAGCTCCACTATTAATTAGTTTTTAGTTCATTTGTGAGACCAGACACAACACAAAACTTGTACCCGTGGGGCATTAGCCTCACTTTCCAGGGCTGATTGACTGCCTGACTGCCGTGAATCTACCCAACGAATTTCAACTCAACACAGGTGTGTTACAGAACACATTATCTATTCCATCGTGTACAAACATATTCATACTCACAATACTAACTGAGACATACCCATAAATGAGGATTGTTATTGCGGATTAAAAACTGGAGATACAGATCAAACTGTGAGACGTCTTGTTGCTATGACCAGAATCCGATCAGTGTTGCAAGCAGAATTGGAGAGGACGGCAGGTCAAGATCTTAGCCTAAGGCGCGTCTGCAGTAAATAGAGCGGCTAAATTTCATCGCAAAACCTGGCAAACGAAGAAGACGATTTATAAAAGAAAAAAAAACGATATATGTGCAGAGGTTGTGAACTAGTGGTGGTGGTGGTGGAGGTTGTGATATTTTTGGTGCAGCGAGCTCAGGAGTTGGGCGGGGGTGGGGGGTCGGAGAGATGAAGGTGAAGGTAAAGGTGGGAGTGATGAGGTGGTCCAGGAGCTTTGAGACATCGTTGTCACGATGAGTGGGAAGGTGGTGGTCCAGGCGTCTCGCTCACGAGAGTACATTCGCATAGTTGGTACACTACTCCATCAACCCTCATTCACCCACGGGCTTCCTTCTTGCTCTGTACATGCTCGATTGCAACCCCTGCTCGGCCCTGCTCCTCTCCTTCTCCTCCTCTTCTCAACCCCCCTTTTACTGCGTCATTGCGGGAGTCAAACAGGGCCCGTGCCAAGTGTGTGATGACCATGAGGGTGTTGACGTATCGATCTTCGATTTGATGCAGCAGTAGCATCATATTTGACCTTGCCAGGAGATTGTCATGGTGGAGTTAGCGGTGGGGAGGTGCTACAGTTGCCTTCTTATTTCAGGTTTGGTTGCAGCACCAAAGCACTGGTTGAGATGGACCTCTGGGCGCCGGGACGTCGAGAGGGGGGGGGGTGTGTGCAGCCCAGGAATTTCGTCATCATGATGTGATGGCGTTGTTTGTATGTTAGAAGATGGAAAAGGATGGTTTCAAAGCAAGTGATGCCGTATTCCTAGTTTGCTTTTGGGTGAAGAAGAAGTCTGACTTGTGTGACAGGTACCAGTAACTGCTTCACGCAGATTGGTCAGCGAGAGGAATATAGGATTCTCATAAACTCGGGTGCAGATCTGGTGTTTGCTGGTTCCGGTATGTATGATGTGGCTATGGTGATAGAGAAAGACTCATAAAGTTGTGTTGGGAATCAGCTGTATGTGAGTTCTTTCATTTTCGATGGACTTGTGAGGTTTTTTGGCGGTGCTCCGAGGTGGAGAAGCGAGACAGCCTTCCTGTTGCTTAGTGGTCATGTTTTCTGAGTTTGAGGTTAGGAGATCACGGCTCGCAGTTCTCAGTCTTTCAACGAAGTTGATTGTAAGGGAGGTCATGATGTTGAATTCCAATTTCTACTTGTGGTCAAAATTATATGTGTTTTATATAGGTATGTGCCGAACTCTCCTATAGCTATCACATCGATGGACTATAGCAACAATTCCATCCTCAAAAGGATTTGAGATAGTATGAGACTGGAAAATTGCACTCTGTGAAAGGCTTATTGAAGAATTAAGATCGATTCATGTTGCATCCAGTCTGATGTTTTTAGCAACTGAGACGTTTGCTAGAAAGCGTTCCTTCAGAGTGGAAACTAACGGTGACAGGAATTTGCTTTTGTGACGAATATCGTGCAGTTCAAAACTACTGAGTAGCGGAAGTTCATATCGGGTCCTGAAGCCAAGTGAACCCGTAGATTTCAAGATATCAAATCCTCTGGAACATTTCGTGAGTAGATCTTTGTGCAGCTTCGTCCAGAAAGTTCCCTAATTCCCTCAATGTCGACACTGCAAGTGTGGTTGATAAGAGTCATGAAGTCATAATCATGGATCCTAGAAAACCCAAATAAATGTTTCGAAGTATGACGCCATGACAGGCGAAGTGCGTCACAAACTTTTGAACAGAAATACCAGTCTGTCACTCTCATGAGTGTGTACTTGTACGCTAAAATAAAGTGGAGTTGTAGGATTTCAGGGTTTCTTGTGATGAGGGGTCGATGGTCACGACAACAACCATGTGAGGCACCGCACATGTAGACTGTCCTGAATGTGATCATGATTCGTCTCTTATCCTCGCCATTTCACACAAGGTTGGTGAAGCAAGCATGTTATAAGCATGTTATAAGCTTATCTCCGAACGATTCATGATGATGGATATGCTTTTCTGTATTGTTTCTGTTCATGTGGAACACTAGTGCCAGCATAGTGGTTTTTGGTCAGGTATGGATCTCAATTGCGGGTCATTGGCAGAGCCAATTGTGGGCAATGTTAGATTATGATGTCTGAAGTAGATTCGTGTAACTTTCTGTGAGGCATTCGACTAAGAGCTGTGAGTATACAAATCGATGACGATGATCGATCAGTATCCATTAAAAATTGTTCCAAGTTGCCGTGCTGAAATTTTAAGCTATGTGATCCTGTGATTTGATGCAGGGAATTACGTTAGGTAATCATGAGCAAACCAGCAGGGGGAGTGCAAGAACATCTTCGGTCAATTGTTGGACCCAAAGGGTGGGACTATGCTGTCTTTTGGCAACTCCATGACGAGACACGGTAACGATTGGCCATTGACAAAGTCACCATCTTCTTAGTTGTGAGACACTGGGATCCGTTCAATAATGTACTAACTCATGAAACAACTCATGAAAGTTTCTCTAAATTTTCTGGTAGCTCCGTGTGTAATGAGTCTGAATCGATATTTTCTCTTGCGAGTGGATCAAGCTTTAGACAAACCACAAGATCAAGGGTCAATGGTCATAAATTCCAGACTGGTGGACAAACAAAATTCATCGAAATTTTTAGGGTTCTTACATGAACTGCACTCACGGCTTTCTTATCCACAACTTAGTAAATCAATCTTCTAGCAGTTGGACTAAGGTGTAAAAGTGATAGTACTCCAGAAGCTGAAGTCACTGGTATTTGTTATTTTCTTAGTATGTAAGTAGTTCGCAAGAAGTATATAAGGATAAATCTGGGAAGTATTTAAATTCGAAATGTCGAATTGACCCTTCCTATTGGTGTGTGGGTTGTAGTTCTCTTGATTGGACTGGGTGTTGTTGTAGCGGTGCCGAAGCTGCAGGCAACGACGTCTTGGTGGCATCTTCTAGTAGTCGTTTTCTTGAGTCCTCAACAGGCTGCCCAGATGTGAAGGGTTTTCACCCTGATACACACATCTGCTCGCTACTTGCAAGCATGCCATCTTCGGTGTCGTTAGACTCAGGGTATGTCCTGAAATTTCATATCTGATACTTCCCAATTCAATTAGAATTATCCATACTTACAGGTGTTTAACTATTGGTAGGTGCTACATGTACAATGTCATTACTTCATCATTTAGGAAGCCGTAATTGTATCCTTAAAAAGGTAATTAATGATGGTGGAAGCAGGATTCAAGGAAGGATTTTTCTTGGAGGCCAACCCAAGTGGGTACACATGGATCCATCCATGGAGGGACAGGTTATTTTAACTCACTCAAGCTAAGTTGGTAGCCTTCTTCTCATCTTGTCTAGCAATTGGGTGAAAGCGTATGATTGCTTACCTTAGGCCTATTTCATTTCATCTATTGTGGCATTCAGCTTAATCGACTGTGTAATTGACTGTCCTGGAAGCAGACCACTTGTTTCGTCTTTACCGTTGTTAGAGAACTTGGATTTCTTTGTTAGACATTCTAAGATTTCTGAGTTTGGTGCAGGACATGGCAGTACAAACCAAAGTTTGCATACCTGTCCAAAGTGGTCTTGTGGAGCTAGGGGTTGCGAATCATGTACATGTCCAACTTCCTCTCTAATAAATCATTTCCATGAATTTTCGTCTTTTCAATCTAAACCTTATGTAGAGTGAATAAACTTAAAATCAATTGAAAGGAAGATTTATCAATTGAATTGCTACCACTTGGAGAATAACTTACTTTCAGCTTGATGACTAAGATCAATTGAACCTTGGTGGGACCAATTGATTCGTTCTCGGTCGTTTGGTTTTCCTGAACTCCCCTTAGTTCGGATTGACTTAATGTTTCGATGTTTTCTTTTTGAGTTGAGTATACGAGCAAATTATATGCACAAGTATGAGGTTCAAATGTTCGGAATAAACACAAATGATTTATAAACCAGATTATAACTTTGAGCTTCAAAAACCCCCCTTTTGTTTAACTTCACCTTAGAAGGAACATTCATTTCGTTAAAAAATCACTAAAGAGAATTATCGTTGCTTTACCAAACTCAAGTTTTTAATTACCTAATATTGGACTATGCATGATTGTAGCTGTCTGTCTTACCAACAAATTTCAAAGTTCTCTTGTTTAAAATGTCAATGTTTTTTAGCAACAGTATCTATAAAGATGTGATCCAAAAACTATGACATGGTACAATCTTCTTCTTCCAAATATCAGACACTAAACTCTTCATGTACACCTGACTTAGTAGTAAGTCTGACAGAACTTAGAACCCTATCCTTGAGGGGTTCATTATGTGCTGATTGATTGCATGACATGGGGAGATGGTCATGTCTTTAGGTGACTGAAAACGCAGCCTTGGTGCAATACGTAAGGGGTAGTTGTGGAGAACCGTGGCAATCAAAGCAAGGGAGCAGTAGCAACACTGCCCTTGATGCAGCTTCAGGTGGACATGGAATGATGGACCAGCAGGCAGTGAAGATGTACTACTCACGCCATTTTCCTACCAACTTGGAGAACTCCTGGCCAAGCTCACACCCATGGGAACAAGAAGACCCCATGTTGGAGTCCCAGCTCCTTGGGGGTACATTTCCATAGAATTTTCTCCTGCCATGACGAATTTCATTTAGATGTCTCACGTACATGTAGTTGAATTCACAAGTCAATAACTATGTGGAATTCAAGAGGCAGTAACACTGATGGTTGCCAACTTTTTGCTTGCCACTCTGCAGGTATGGACCAAGAATTGATTCAATTACTAGGGACAAATGTGCACTTTCCTCACCATGCAGGTTAATTTTGGAATTGATCTCTACATCGCCTGTTCTGATTCCTAGCAGTGGTTATTACTGTTCCATTGTTCATTATCATACGCTTTAGTCTGTTGCAAGTGGTTTCAGATAAGAGGCTTGTCACCCTGATAGATTTTGATTGTTATTGTGCAAGTACTACAGGGCCAATGGCAGACTCGTCCCCACGAGGAAGTGGGTTGTCGAAAGATGACGGGGAAGGTCAGCACCCAAGACACCAACTATGCCACGTAACAAGTTTTGTGTGCAAGATGTTGGTTTGCGTTTAGATTCTGTCAATTCTGTGCTTTGCAGGTTTGTACGTAAATGATGCATTTTTGTGATGATCGAATTCTGGGCTTCACTAGTGAAGCAGGAGATTCGTGGGGATTCCTCCGATTGCAGCGATCCCATGGAAGACGACGAAGAGAAGGGCGGTCCTAGATCTGCTCGCCGCCACTTGTCGAAGAATTTGGTCGCCGAGCGTAAGCGCCGGAAGAAGCTTAACGAACGCCTCTACTCGCTGCGGGCTCTCGTCCCAAAAATCACCAAGGTGATGAGCCCACCCGTTTGTCTAGATGTCAGCTTAATGATCCTCAACTACTTCAAATTTAGATTTCAAATTGCTTGGTTGAATTTTTTGGGATATCACGATGTTGCAGATGGACCGCGCGTCCATCTTGGGAGATGCCATAGAGTATGTGAAGGAGCTGCAACAACAGGTGAAGGAGTTGCAAGAAGAGCTTCTGGACAGCAAAGAAAATGACATGGGCACTGCTGGGTTAGGATTTGAAGAGGCAGCAGTAGCTGCTGAAGAGGCAAACCTTGGAGGCGCCATTGACATCGGGCGATGTTCTGGGAAGGTCGACTCCCAGGCTGTCACGATTGAGGTCATTGACAGGAAAGGTGACCATGAGCTCACACAGCCCATGCAGGTTAGCGATTCACTTGTCCTCCTCGATTTCGCTGACTTTTCAGAATAACATCAAAGTTTTACTTGGGATGGACTGATTCCAGCAAATGAAGGTGTATTTCATGATTAGATTGTCTGTTGATGGTGATTCAGGTGGAGGTGAGCAAGATGGATGGGCGTTTGTTCAGCCTCCGAATCTTTTGTGAGAAACGACCTGGAGTGTTCGTGAAGTTGATGCAGGCGCTGGATGTCCTTGGTCTCAGCGTTGTCCACGCTAACATCACCACATTCCGTGGCTTAGTCCTCAATGTTTTCAATGCCGAGGTAATTCACATACACCAAAATTTCAATTCGAAAAAGTTTAGCCATTTATACATTCCAAGAGTGATTGATTTCACCCTCTAACCTCTGTTTAATGTGCTTATGCAGGTTAGAGACAAGGAGCTTGTCGGTGTGGAGCAAATGCGCGACACGTTGTTTGAGATGGCTTCGCAATCCAATCACCGGTCACTAGCGCTCGCTGCTACAGATCCCCCAGCCAGTTTGCAACCATCCTCCATGAGCGGAGACAGACTAGAGACGATAACCGAAGGATCATTCCCATAGCCATAAATCTATTTCATATCTGCGCCACAGGGGCAAGCTGCACTAAACCCTACAATAGGCTGAACCGTAAATTTCACATGATTGGCCTATCAACACTTGAAGCCAGCAACGAGAGCAATAATGGGTGCATGATAAATTACCCTCTCATCACTCAGCTACAAGGACCCAAATCTTCTGATATTAATTTTCCTCTTCTATTGAAACGTCCACCTTACTACCCTACATTTGGAGTTCAGATTCAATACTCACATGTAAGCAAGGGTTCTTCCAGAAGGTAAGCCTAATGTTAGAAACTATATAGGTGAAAAAAAACATTGCAAGCATGAAATGAACAAGTTTTCACAAAGATACGAGCGTTGTGTGATTCCCAAGATCTCGTGGCTATGGCAATGGACGATAGATTTGCTCTATTTTGTCTTGCTCTTATCGCGCACTTTGTAAGCCAATTTCTGCATTCATGACTGCCTACTACTGTAACTGCTTGGGATGAGAGGGCTGCTGGCTGAAGGCATGAAGGGTAGATCTGCTACTCAGAGTTACGTACGTGGAAGAGCTTCAAAGACGGGCCCGAAGATATGAAATCCCTGCACGAGAATTCGTTTGTTATGAACGATCATGTGCATTGTTCAGCTACGGTACGTGTGTCGGAAATCTGCGATAGACAGGAGCATGACAGACGACTACGAGATACCTTCAAAGAGATCGTGATTATATTTGAGCGCTTCCACGATTCTGACCTATTCGTGGCGAATATCCATGAGGCATATGCGCGGCCGCAGTAGTGTATCATCGTGCTGCTCACACCAAGCGGGTGATCCTGTTGAACATGCGACCGGTAATCTTTCATGCACCCTCGCTTGTATACCGACACCTCACGCTTCCTGGACCTCACGCTTCTTGCTCATGGCAGGTTCACATCTCGCACCGCTCTGGGAGGGTACGTCACGGCACACAAGTAGGAATTCGCGACGGGAATTGAGAATTCGTACTGAGACGAGAGTGAAGACGCGCTTCCATGGCTCTTTCTCCTCGAAAACCTATTTCCACCTCCTGTCCGTATTACGGGGCAATAGCAGACATGCATGGCTCGTAGAAGTGAACTCTGTTTAAGACTTGCTGTTCAAGTTACACATGATTGCGTATCCTTGTGAAACCCATTGTGGGTAGTTCCTCTCATCCTACTCCTCTGCCACCATCACTGAATCCAATCTCGCAGGTGCATCAACTCCTTTCCCACAACTCGCGAACATGTTTGTCGATGTCTTAGGTCCCTCATGCTCATGGATCCAGTAGGTGGTACACAAACTTCGAAATAGAACTCGAAATCATCACGTCGAAGTAGTTGAAGAGCATTTACCAGTTGGTTAACGTCACAACACCGTCAAAGAGCCGCTGTAATAACTCAAGGTACGAAGTAATGGCAAAGTTGTTGGGGCGCGGTCCCAACAGTTTAAAAATTCTCAGAAACATCTTGATAAATAACTACGTCGATAATCAGAGTCCGGTGGGGACATAATTTCCTCCTCAACTCACTGTAACGAATGGGTTCCCTCTGAAGTGTAGTCCACGATTGTTTCCCAGGAACGAAGAAAACCTACTTAAAACATTCCGAAGTGCCGGGGTTTTCTGAGCATTCCCACCCGCACAGGACGCACAGAATTCACCATCCACAATCGGCTTCGGATCTCGTCAACCGATCTCATCGTCGCGCCTGTTTTCGACACGCTTCCTCAAAACCGCAGTATGAGGGTTTGGTGTATGGATTTCCAGGGCCCTCGACGTTTCCGAAAACCCACATTCGTCCTCTTCATATTTATATATGTATGTATATACATTTAGAATACTGGACAATAGATGTGTTTTGATCGCAACCGAAAGATCTTCTCATCTCCTTCTCTCAAGAAGAAATCGACGATGACGTGAAACCCAAGTCGCCAATGGATGCTCCTCGGCAGTGAGGATGAGCATTCTGTTCGTCGTGCGCCTCTCCGGTTCAGGGCCAGTGCCCTGAGCCGGTGGGCTTACTTGGCCTCTTCTAGTTTCCCCGGCAGAGTTTCGCACATGAATCGCAGCATCTCCATATCCTCTTGGCAACTGTGCGGGTGAACCAGGGCAGAAGCGCGACTTGAATGACCCCCCCCCCACCCCCCCAACTGCGACGTTCACCATCGTTTACATTACACTACCTCGTCGCGACTGCCATCATCCGAGCCGCGGGGCGTTGACTGGGGATTCTTGGTGGGCTCTCTGACCCAGCCCGCGGAGCTGCCTTTGGCGCTCTGTGCGGAGTCTCTGTGAACATCTTTTGTGTTGTTGAGGTGGCATGTTGAGTGCTGTTGCCTTTAGGTTAATTTTTTTTTGAATGTGTGCTGAGGCCTCGTGCCTGTGCAGGCAGTTTAGGGTTATTTCCGTTTTCCTGAGCAACTCTGAGGCGTTTAGGTTATTGATGGTGTGCTTGGTGTTACTGATCAGTTCTGGGTAGCCGTGAGAGGAACCGAAGTCACCTAGAGGGTTGGGTTTTGGTTAGATGATGAGGTTGTGTGTATGAGGAGCGATTAGTGCACTTGCAGGTTTTATTGAGGGAAGAGAGGCTCGTAGAAATTCGCTACTTTGCTCATTAGAAGGGAATAGAAAGAAATCAGTGGTTTGTTGACGATGTTTTCCCACCCATGCAAGTAGTAATGTGTCGTAGTTTGCGAGCTGAGTTGAGCAGTGTGATTCTTGAGGCTCGTCTTTATGGGTTTTGTTGATCATACCTCTGAGTAACATCGGGAGATTAATTGTTGTCAGGTTGGTTAAGTTTCGCTTCCACTATGGCGCCTTCAGCTAACGGGCAGAAGGCCGCTGTGCAACAAAGAGTGTATATTGTGGTACGGCGTGCAGAGTTTAGGGAGTTAAACTCGCACATAAATCCTAACACCGATGATCAGCCTTATGAGCCCGAGATTTCATACCTGGACTTCGCTTACGTGGATGAGAAGCAAGCATACGCGGTTGCCATCCGGGAGCAGATTCTGGAGCTTGACGAGAATGGGACACACAACGGCCGAAAGGTGGCTGCGCAGACGAGCTTATCTTTGAAGGAGCGTTTGAAGAACATCCACAAGGTGGTTGACGTCGCTGCCGAAGCCCATGAGGACCCGGAAGCTCCTGTGGTGAAATTTGAAGTATTGGAGTTCCCATTGGCTCCAGTGCAGCCATTCCAGGAGAGTGTTTTCTTGAAGGACCTCGATAATCCTGATGAGTCTGAAGACGTGGAGGACGATGAGGAGGAAGAAGAGGGTGACGAAGAAGAAGGCGACGAGGAAGAGGTTGAGGAGGAAGTCGATGAGGGCGAAGAGGGCGTGGAAGAAGTAGAAGGGGAGGAGGAAGAGGATGATGAGGAAGGTGAAGACGATGTCATAGAACTCGACGATGATGACGAAGGCGAGGAAGTCGACGACGACGACGATGACGAAGACGAGGAAGATGACGAGGGTGCGCCCAAGATCAAGAAACAAAGGACGTAGATACTTGACTTTCACTCTCACGCGCCGTAGCTCGACGTATAGCGATGTCGGTGGATGTGTGTAGCTCTGACATTTGAGCTTTGTCAAGGTCTGCATCGCTTGCACAGATGCGTCTGCAGAGGAGTCACTTGCCTGAAGTTGCTCGGGGACAAAGGAATGCTCCTTGCTCGTCTAGATTTCCATTGCGTGAAGAATACGTCGGAAGCTCCAAGCGCAGATGAGCAGACACGACAGTAGTAGGTTCTAGACGTAAAGAATGAGACGGTCAAAGCTGTCTCTTTTCTCTACGATTCCGTGTCCATGTTTATTGTAGGTGTCTTCGCTTGAAAGAGGGTGTCGTCGTGTGCAAAAGAGATGTCTAGGATATTTTGGTTGGTTGAAGCAGGTCAATAGGACAGTGTAAACTGGTGCGAGTTGAATGCTTGTGGTTGCATGTCGTTACCACCTACCAGTTTCAGAATGTGAAGAATACAAGATTGGGATCTTTTTCACTAAACGGGGTGCCTTGTCCTGGCATATGGTGTCAGTTTGTTCTGTCTTTGCTGTTGTCTCGTGTAGCAGATCCTTGCCCCATTTTTTTTGTAAATGTTTTAAATAGCCGTAACTGTGCAAATAACTAGTGACATCGTCGGAAAGGAAGAGACCCGTTGTGTTGCTCCTACTTTCAAATGCCTGTCTCTGTCGGTAATGATTCTCCGTGTCATGAAACGATCGTGACTTAACAACAAACGTTTCCTGTTAGTTTATCCAGGAGACCCGACATTCTCCACAGTTCTACTGCAGCCTTCAAGCATCGTCTCTTTCCCTGCCGTCGTGCAAGATAGCGCTTGTCGCCACAGTATCCGTAAATCTGTATTCCCTGTCAGATGTAAGTGGGCATGTAGGTGTCACCGACACGTACGAACAATATACTCATCTGCTTGTTGCAGGTCGTAGTCGTCTCCTCGAAAAATTACGCTTATCACAGGGTTCGACTGGACATAGGTCAACTTTAAAAGTACGCTAAGAATCCAAATTTCACTAAAAAAGAAAAAAAACACTCCAAGAAGTTACTTGCGTCTAATCCGCCGATCACATTCCCCCAGAAATGTCCCTTGTGCCCTGTGCTTATTGCAACTGTGTACAGAAGATATCTCTGGTGACCAAAGAGAGGTCCATGAAAGGATTTTTTCATTATTTTGCTTGATTTGGTTGATTCAAATATAAGAATGGTATCCTCACCAGGTCCTGTAGCTCATCATTTTCCTAAAATAGTTGTCCTGTGGAGCATCTACAACAGCATCACAGTCACACGGTACAAAGTGCTTTCAGATGTTGCGTAATCTTGGCATTCAAACCTATTGAACTTGAAAACTAGACAAGCGGTGTCTATGCGATTGGTGCCTTGAGCTGGAGTCATCGTTGACGTCTTCATCTGATTCACTGCTTCCAGGCTCTGAAGCGGTTGCCGTGGTCTTGGTCACCACATACCTCACGACCTCAGTGGCAAGCCATAGTAGCATCATCATGTTCACGTCCAAGTTTAAAATATGCATTTGCACTTCTTGCAAGCATTGAATCATTTACGGCGAAGTAACCTGTTCCTTGATGTTTTGAAGAGCATCATATCAAACACCTTTCCCGAAATCAATCCTCATAGAAAGTTCTCGTATTATCCCATAAGCATACGTCGCTGATTGGCATCGGCAGAGGTGTATGTATAATCATAGAACTTATTCTTTGCGGCAGATCTGCCCTTGACAAAGTTTCCAAGAAGAGTCTACTAAATCACGTTTTCTCCTTTGTAAACTGGACAATACGGTCTATTCGACATGAACGATTGTGATCAACAACCTTCAAATGGGGCATTACAAGGTTTGATCAGAACTCATGCTCCTGTTACTTCACAATCTTGAATACCACGCAGCACCATCGAAACCATGTGGGGATTATGTGCTGCAGAGAATCACATGACGACAACTCCCCATGGAAAACCCTTACACAATGCAGCTCAAACTAAATCGAAGTATAGCACTGCAAAAGATTCTCAAACAAGAACGCTCGAGTTTTAATCTATCTCTGACGCAATTCCCTGCAGCTGAACTCCATCGGCCCCTTTCTGGGCAAGGCTGGAACCTTAGCCGCAGCATTCTACTGCAATTTTCATTGCTTCGCTTAACCCTATCCATTGCTATGATTTGAACCGGAGTTTGGGGTATCCAAGAGATTTTAACTCATTACGCCAACAAGAACCATCGGTTGCTGCAACGTTCCAGGCATTGCAATAACGCATATCAATCACCAAACTGTAACTTCCACCATTTTTAAGGGATCCCAGTTCTCTTGATGATACACAAGGTAAAATTTGCTTAAGACTAATGACCAAAACAAAGCTGCCACCTTTCCAATGAATGCTGTGCATAATTTTGAAAGTCCTGGAAACCGCAAAAGCTGTGGGCAATGACCTAGTGTAGAGATATTCAAATACAATCAGCAGTACACTTCCTGACAACAGCGAGAGTTCTGTTCCAGCAGCCAACACACTTGAGTGCTCATCGAGTAAGTTGGCGGACTAACTGGGAGTATGTTGCTTAAAAAAGACTTCTAGCGCCAGAGCATCTAAGAAGAATCAATGTAATACTATCATGGTTCCAAAGGGCTAAGTACTCATCGCAATCAACTTATCACTTAATGGGCCGCCGAAGCACCCATTGCCTGTTTCCCTCCCTTCATCGTCCACATAGCGCAAATATGTAGTGTACCCACGAAGAAGGCAGAATACAGTCTACATGAACATATGATGTAGTTTGTTTCGAAATGTGAAGTAAAGAAGTTAGCACGGAAGAAAAGAAGATTGTATACTCAGGAAAAATGTGAAACGCGTGGAAGGCCTCGTGAAATATTGTCTTACATGCATGGTTGTGGAATACATACATACCATAACTGGAACCAACCACTGTGTAAAGCATACGCTAAACAGCAACATTATTTCACAAATCAAATCTCGACCGAGTTTACCAAATTAAACTTGTCTCGGAGCATAAATGAGATTTTGAAAACCCAACGGACTTGTTACATGGAATCTTCAAGATTCTGGCTTACAACAGTAGTTGTTAATGGACTAACTGTTGGTCAGGAATCCATACGACATTTTAAGTCTGCTCTTGCCTTCTTCATACGGCAATACGTGATCGTCAATTCATGTTTTCCCCAAACACATGCCGGTCAAGCATAAACCCTACGCTTTACCATAAGAAGTCCTCCTCCCCTACCAGGCTAAACTGCAGATAATCCATGTGCGCTCGAATTCCTATTCCAATCAGCAGTTGAGGAGAAGAAATCATGTGAGAGTCGTTGAACCAGTATTTCCATTCAGCTTACAACAGCACCTGTAAATGCGCCTGTCCACAAGGTCTTGTGGGCACTCCACAAGATTTCTGTCTTACAAAAAGCAAAGCTGGACATTTCTTGTTCCTGGATCAAGGATGGCGTCCGCAGGAGTGAGAAGAGCGAGGGTCATGGCTTCGTACAATGCATGTACAAGCTCCTGGCATTCCATAATGGTGGTAAGAACTTGCCAGATAAATGTAAGCTTAGAATTTCAGGTTTCCCAGAATCAATAATGGTTTAAGGCTTTTGTGATCGCACTCGCTGAAACTGGACATGGAAGCTCTGTGACTCGAGATACATGCTGATGACGACTAACGACCTGCGTGCCGAAGAGCATGTGAGTGCAATTGAATCGAAGGTTTTTCTGAATTTGAAACAAACGGACATGGACAAACTTCTTACCTGCCAGGAACTGCCGCACCTGTGCCGGATCTTGCGAGTGGTCAGAGAACATGAGCAAACCCTACTCGCAATCGCTATAGTTCCGGATATACCCAGGTGGAGAGCAAAGAAGCGTTCTATGATCGCATGCTTCACGCGCACACGTATTTGCACACGCTGCAGATGTCGATATGTCCCATTGTCGATGACCGTCAGTCTCAGTCAGATGCTCAGTTTTTGCTTCCACCAAGTGTTGTCCCGGATCCCTGCTGCATAAGCAGTCTGATGATCCAGCAAGACTATCTACACTTTACAGAAGAGCAAAAGGATTTAAGCTCTTGCGTCGAATCGCTCACTGGAATCCGGACCTGGTGTTGTAGGGGCATGTAACACCAGATGTCTAGATTGTTATTTTGATGCTTCCACGAGGAGATCAATTTTTCGATCACCAACTCCGAGTTTATTGCGCAAGCACTGACCCCACCAGCGATGGCTTTGATTGAACCCACAGAATCACATAATTTCTGTGATGCGAAGTCTACTGATGTCTAATGAGTCGGTGTGTCGATTTTGGCTTCCACTTGTTTAGTTTTTGAATTTTTTTGACACCTTTATGTTCGTTTTAGATCAAATTTATTTCGAAAGTTCTTAAGTTAGTTCGATGATGCTTTGTGGCCACATGAGGAATTGAGGTTGAATGCTTGGTGTTGTTGAAGTTGTAGGAGGTGGTTCATTAGAGGGTTCAAGATGGGAGGTTTGTTGCTAAATGCATGGAATTTATCTTTAAGGGATTCTGATTCTATCAGATTTTGATAATTTTCATGTATTATCAATGCTCCAAATGTATATCTTAATTTACTAAGGATGGCTAAAAAAGCTCTTTTATAATTGAAACTTAATGATAAGTCAAAATTATATAATGAATCTTTTAAAATAAAATTTATTTAATCAAAATTTAATAAAAAAATTGATAATGGCTTTTGAAATGGAAGAAGTCGATAAGACGAAGATTTTTTTTCAATTATTTATCTTTGCAATAATAATTTTTGTTGTTAATTGTAACATATACATGCATTGTTATGATATATTTGTCATTTGTTTTAGTATATGTTTTTTTAAAAAATTCTATATAACATTTATCATTCCAATCTATGTTACATACAAGATTTTGGAATTTAGCAATATATATGGTACTTGATTGTGATCCTTGTTGTAAAGACAAGGATTTTGTCTTTCTTACCTTTTTTCTATTATTTTTTCTTAAATATAGCAATAAATACTTCTAAGAATGAATTTAAGCCATATAAAAGTTGTGAAACCTTTTCTATCAAAGGTAGAAAGCAAGAGAGAGCATTTCTAAATAAGAATGCACCTATGAGTAAATCCATTAAGATATTGAGAAGAATGTAACTTTACATAAAGTTTGATTTGTTGTAGATTTTTTTTTTTAATTAATTTTTTTGGTATACTAATCCTTATCTATTTCATACTTGTAGTAGCAAGACTTCTTGGATTCAATTATGAGGTTGATTTTCTTGCTTCTCTCAACTATACAATTTCTTAGTATAAATATTAGACTTCATTGTAGCCTTCTTTCATAAGTGCAAGAATAATACCTCTATGATAAACGTTGATAATATATGAGATTTCTATCCTAAAAATATAAACAAGCTTGTAAAAATTTTCAATAGTTACAAATCTATTTTCACTTTTGTCAAGTCTAGCATCCATATTTTTTTCTTCCATGTCCATAACCAACAACTTAAGAAATCTACAAGTCAAATTAAAAGAGGGTAGTTTGCAACCACTAATATCAAATGAAAATTTCAACAAGGAGAGATAGTTCATTCTCTTTAAAGAATGAATCAATGTTAGAAAATAAAAAATAATAGTTTAAAGATAGATAAATCAACACACTTTAAATCTTAAAAGAAGTAGACTAATCTACTCACTTCTAATACAAAATAATAATAGTGAATTAACACTTTAAACAAATTATCAATGATATAAATAAAAATAATAAAAACCTCAATATATTATTATTTTATTAGAAAAGAATGAATATTCACTCAAAGATAATATAATATGTAAGTTAGAATGACTATTATCAAAGATAAAAAGACTAGAGATTCTCAGAAGAGAACTAAATACAAAAAAAGAGTTGAGAAGAGTGAAGAAGGTCTTACTCTTCTTTCCATATATATTATCTAACTAGGAGCTATGTGACAACATTTTATAGTACTTCTAATATATGACCAACTTGCAAAATATATGTCTTATTTGGAAGACAAGTTTCCTATATGTAAACCACATAGCCATTTTGTACCACATATTGCCAATATGTGCAACAAGTGGCCAATTTGTTGGTAAAGTTTTTAACTTATCAATCACCTACAAATATATATAAAATTAAATCCGCATCTATACAACATTTAAGAAGCTTCTTTACAAGATATTATCAAATTTACTTACTTTTATTTATTTCTACCTAAATTTGTTTATTTAGGTAATTACAAATAATTATTATGTCTATAATAATAGATCACAAATTTTTTATTGGAATATTTTTTAATTTTTTTAAAGAAAATTTTAAATACAAAATATATATATTTTTTTCAAAAATTTAAAATCTCAAAAAATATCCAATAATAGTTATTAATATCTACATAGTTTTAATTTTGTAAATTATATATTATATTTAAAAAAATTCTTTGTAGATATTTCATTTTTATTTTATAGATATTATTTAAAAAAAAATATACTTACAAATTTATTTTACAAGTTTTAAATAATAATAATAAGATGGCTAAATTGATTTATAGTAAAAATAAATAAATAATATTAATATATATATATATATATATATATATATATTATTTTTATAGAATAAGAAAATATGATCAATTTTTATTTTTAAAAAAATTAAAAAAATAAATATAAAAAATATTAAAATAATCTATAATTTTATTAAATCAATCTACCCATCTTGACCATTATGAAATGACCTTTACATTCATTTTTTTTTATTATTGGATCTACAATCAATAAAAACAACCATATTTATCATTATTATAATCTTTATTATTGTTATAATCATAGCAGCCACATAATCTCACACCTCCTACAAAAAAATCATATTTTTTTGTTTAAAAAATAACTAGATATAGATTTCAATTCATTATTCTTGCCACATCTTCCATCTTTCTCTTGAGTCATATTGCATTCTATTTCGACCTACATTGTAATTTTTTTTTCCTTGTCTTTTCAACTTTATAGCCATTGATGTTTGTGATATAGGTTGTATTTCCAAGCTTAAATAGCTCGGCTTCAATACTAGAAATAAAGAAGATGCTGTATTTCATTGTCCTTTATTAGTACCTTTCTACACCTATTTTGTTCTATCTTTTGATGTTGAAGATCATCAATACAATGGAAGTACTCATAAAAATGGCATAGACTTGTATCAAAGATCTAAATCAACTTCTTCAAGCATTTGGTGCTCTTATTGTAATGCCTTTGGATATTGCAACCAATTGTCATAGATAACAACTTCAAGCTATCAATTGTCCAAGTAAGATGTACATACTCCACAATACAATCCATTATTGTATTACATGAAATCTTACTCAAGAGTGCACCGGACACCTGACTATAGAACATAGAATAGAAATTATAACAAAAAAATTCTAATACTAATAGAATACTATAAAAACTCTAATTAAACCTTAACAATCCTAAACGAAATTTAATCAAATTCAAAAGAAACCTTAAAGAAATTACCAAAAAAACAATAAGAAAACTTAAACGAGTTGAAAGAAAATCTTTAATAAACCTTAAAAGAATCCTTAAGAAGCCTTAAAAAATATTAGAATAATCACAAATATATCTTAAATAAATCTCAATTAAGTTCTAATTTAACCCTAGTTAAAATCCTAATGGACTTCAATCAAATCTTAGACAAATCTTAAATCTTAAATCAAATTCTAAATCAAATCTTAAAAAAAAACCTAATCCTAAACCAAACCTTAGATCAAATCTTAGATCCTAAATCAAATCTTAAATCAAATCCTAGAATAATCCTAGACAAATCCTAAATCCTAAATCAAATCTTAATTCAAATCCTAGTTCTTAAACCAAATCTTAAATCAAAACTTAGACAAATCATAAATTCTAAACTAAATCCTAGAAAAATCCTAAATCCTAAACCAAACTCTAGACAAATACTAAACCCTAAATCAAATCCTAAACCAAATCCAAATCCTACTCAATCTAATCCTAGTACAATTTAGAATTTTAATATCTATCAATTGAATCATTGATCTTGCTTAAAAATTTATATACCTTTTAAAAACTAAGTTGGAAACAAGCATAAAAAATTTGAAGACAATTGCACTTACAAAATAGAAGAAAAATCCTAAAATCCGCTCTGATGTTGGCCGGCCTCCTACTCCAATCTGAATGTTGGACTTCCAGCACCAATATCTCCTTATCAAACTATTCAATTGTTTTCAAATTTTATATGTGTGTATAATATCAAGTTTATTACTTTTAAACATAAATTTTATCTCAATCCAATTAGTAGATTGCTAAAGATCTTAGAAATCCTAACTACCTCTCAACGTCCAATTTTTAAGACCTCAACCTACTTGAAATTCAATAACCTTCAATTCAACTATTTGATCAAGCTTAAACTTATAGCATATACTTTAAATAACTATTTTTATAATTTTTCAAAATTTGAACTATAGATCTATTACCAAACTCACAAATTTTTTCAAAATGTAATATTCTTTTTATTTCTCAAATTCCAAAGTTATCCAAAATAAGTGTGACTTTACAAAGCTCTTGCAAAGTCATTACATACTTAATTCTCTCAAAATAAATGCTTAATAAAATCCTAACAAGTTTTCTTTCAAAACTTTTTCTTTGATCTACCAAAGAATTTCTAAGTTGCCATTTATGCTTGATTTTGTGCCTTAAGGTCTGATTTCAACCCAGGTTGATAACTAGTCCTTTTTAGACATCAATTTTTACTCTTTTGAATTAATTTTTATTTAAATCATTTTCTAACTTCTTGCTACATATGCTCATATTCTTTATTTTTCCAATCTACCTTATTTTGCCTTATTTATGGCCTCACAAAGTAAGTAGTAGTCTACATTGTAAGAAGGTAGGATTTAAACCTTTAGTTCTACTTTCTTTTGGACTATTGTCTATTTTTTAAGATAATTTGCTACAATATTTGAAGTAAGATCTTCTATAATATAATAGATTCTTAATTCCTATTACTTATTAGTTGTGTTACATCACAACACCATAGTTTGATTTATTAGAATAAATTTTATGAGGATGTCTTTGCAATTGAAGAGGCCGTGCAAGACAATGCACACCTATTCTACCTTGGA